TAAATACAATGACAATAGATCGCAGAGTGAGAAACTATATTTTTATCTGAAAATATTGTTTTTCGAATTTTTTAAAAGAGCAGGGAGCAGGCCCGGCAGGGCGACGTTTCGAGGGGTGTACGGGCAAGAAAGTCGGCAAGGGCCCACGCACGTGCTGCGGAAATGTTTGAGAACGGCGGTTGCACGTGCTGCTGCCAACGCTGAGCCGACACGTGTCAGAAATTTCCGTGACAAACACGACTGCGATTGCTGAACTCTAACACGTGTCGACTGATACGATGTCGTTTCATGTCGTGACGACGACGTACTACGTATCATAATAATCTCTAAATAAGACGACGGTTACGAAGGCTCTATTTACACAGCACATTTTTATTTATTTAATATTATTTATTTTTTTAAAATATTATATTAAATATATTTTTTTTTACAAAATATCAAAATTAAATGCTAATTTTTTATTTCTTTTTTAACTTCCAAAATAAAAAAACCCTCCAAAAACCTCCCTAACACATCCAATTTTCTCAGACAGATTGTAACATTTCATAAAATATCAGGTGCGTTTGTTTTGTGTTTTGCTTTCAGAAATTGTATAAATATATTATTTAATTTTTTCGAAAGATATATTAAAAAAAAAAATTGGTAAAGAAACAAACTCCAAGATATATATAGCACATATTTTATAAAATAAAAGCATGTATTATATTTAAAATATATATTTTTAAAAAAATTTATTAGTATTTTTAAATTTTTAAGCCGTGCTTTTTAAATTTTTTAATTGATGTTAAATATGTTTAATAAGAGTATATCATATGTTTTAAAAAGAATAGATTAAATTGCACAAAAATTTATTCGTGGTTTCATGAAATTGCATCAAATTTCTTATACTTTTAAAACTGCGTCAAACTCTCTCGTGGTTTCATAAACTTTGTTTCTAACCCCCTCAATGGTCCTTATTTAACAATATTTGACTTAAATACGCTCAAACTGCGAATAAATTTTAGAACCTCAATTTATAAACCCCTAAAATTACAAATATATATTTTTTTATATTTACCCTAAATATATTTTTTTCTTATGTTTTAAGAGTTTATTTTTACTATTTTTTAGGCTAAATATATAAAAAAAAATAAATATATTTGTAATTTTAGGAATTTAAAAATTGAGATTCTAAAATTTATTTGCAATTTGAGCGCATTTAGATCAAATATCTTTAAATAAGGACCGCTGAGGGGGTTAGACGTAAAGTTTATGAAACCACAAAGGAATTTGACGCAGTTTTAGAAGTACGGGAAATTCGATACAATTTCATAAAACCACATGTGAATTTTGTGCAATTTAGCCAAAAGAATATATATTATACTTTTTATTTTTATATTGTATTTATAATATTTTAATAAAAATAATATGTTTGGATGCATTTCTTTATGTCATAATATTCATTCAAATATTATTTTAATACCAAATTCAAATCAATTTTCTTTTTTCTTTCAAACTAATAAAAAGAAACATTTTGCTTTGAAATAAATAAACATTTGTTCTAAACACAATTATTTAGGTAATAAATATTTTATCGGTTCACTTACAATGTTTACATATTTTTATTTTAATTCATCAAATTCAAAGATTTACATTCCGGGGTTTGACTTTTTTATTGAGATTTGAATCGTAAAATATTTGAATTGAAATAATTATATAATATGGTTGTAAATAAGTATTGATATGATATTTTGAATGTAAAAAAAATAAAAATAGGTATTTGATTTGATGTTTTTGAAGGAAAAGTTACGTGTGAATAGTATGAGTACCCAAAATCCTTCAAACAAACACACCCTTAATAAACGTGGACCATATTACTAACTAATATTCCCTCCGTCCCAGAACTATAGTCTGGGTTGTGTTTGACACAGGATTTAAGAAATATTGATATTATATTGGTAGTGTATAAAAAGTACGGGTAAAAGATTTTTTTGCCCTTGTGAGTGTATTAGTGTAAAAAGTAGTGGCAATTGTGTAATAATAATGAAAAAATAAAAGTAGTTTTATAATGATACGATTATTTATAGAATGACACTATTGTTTTGGGACGGACAAAAATAGTAAGCAAGACTAGTATTGGGACGGATGGAGTAATATATATATATTTTTTTATTCATCGTATTACCCTCACTTTATAAAGTGTAAAGACAATTTGATTTTTATACTATTATATATATCCACTACTATTAAAATACTAATATTTCTTAGGAAAAATTGTACAAAATATATGTAGTTTTACGAAATTGCGTCAAATTCTTATATTTTCAAAATTGCATCAGACATTATTTAGCAAATGATAGTGTATAATAGAATAATATTTCATTATATATATCTAGTTGCTGACATCATATAATTTTTATTTGATTTGTTATATTTGTTATTTTCATCCGTCTCATATATATCATTTCACTTTTATTTTTTAAAAAATAATTATATATTTTAATAATATTTATATTTTATAATTTAAAAATTTTAATTTTTTACTAAACTAATTAGTTATATTGTAATTAATTTTACTAATATATTCTTAATGATTAACTAATCATACAATTTCTAAATTTACAATAATTATGAGAGGGACATGGAGAGTACAATATATTATTAATTTTTAACACAATAAAAATATGTACGACACAATATGAAATATATAAAATGTACAACACAATATGAAATATATAAAATGTACAACACATACTTTTATATAACACAATATGATGATGTGCTATACAATTATAACAAAAATCTCAATTTATCTCGAAAAATTATATCGGTAAAAAATTCTGAGGCAATCATGTGTCACATAATTTTTTTTTAGACAAATTAATGTATCAATCATTGTCTGAGACACCACTGCAACAATTTATCTTGACCATGTTGGATTAAAAATTCAATTGTGGGTTAAATGTAACTATTTGGGTTATCAGTCAGATTAAGCCTATATTAAGTGATCTCTAAATTTATTGGGCTTAAATGTATTTAGTAAGTGCAGGCCTCCAATGTGCAGAAACCTGGTAAATTATTAATTGGGTGATGAGGTCAATTAATAATAAAGGATATAAATAGGGTTGTGATCCCAGTTCTAGACGCAACAACCGTTACGTTCCATATCTCATCGTGGGAGCAAAGGCAGAAACCCTAGCGGTTTTCTCAGGAGGGGTTGCGCCATAGGCTTGAAAAACACAAAACCCTCCATTATTTGAAGATCTAAATCCGACTATGCTGAGGAATAAGGTTAGATTTATTTCACTTTATTTTCTTATCTCAATTCCTGGGCTTAGGGTTAATTTCCTACAAATTCTAACATACCACTATCTCAAAAGTTATTTTTGACAATTTATTATTGTATATTTGATTCTAAATACTACTAAGTATAAATTATCTTGAAATAAGTAGCGAAAAATATTTCGAAAATATGAATTTTCTCGAATCAAATCACAAATATAATTCGTGAATATAAGTTGTTTTGAAATGAATCATAAAAAATGTTCCGAAAGTAAAAGTTGTATTAAAATAAGTAAAAAAAATACTCTGAAAGTTGAATTGTTTCAAAATAAGTTACGAAAAATATCTAAAGAGTATGAATTGTCTCGAGATGTGTCATGAAAGTAATCCAAGAGCATACATTATCGCAAAATGAGTTGCAAAATATATTCCGAAAGCAAAAATTGTCTCAAAATACATCGTAATAAATATTTCGAGAGTGTGAATTATCTCAAAATGAGTCACGACAATAATCCTGAGAGTATATATTCAAAATGAGTAACCCCAATATGTTCCGAGAGTAAAAATTATCTTAAAATAAGTCACAAAATGTTCCGAGATTTGAATTGTTTCAAAATAAGTCGCAAAAATATCTTGAGAGTATATATATTGTCTCGAAACGTATCATAAAAATAATCCGGAAAAGACAGTGCACATCCAATAACTCGCTGAGAAAGACAATCGACGAAGGGCTTTAAGGATTTTTTCCGAAACTAAAAAATCGATATCTAAACTACCCAACAAAGATAGTCGCAATGCCATAATTGCACGCCGCTGGTCGCCGGAGATTGGCCGTCTAGACTCTAGGTAGACATGCCAAGCTAAGATGTGGGCCGCGACTTTTCTACTATATTTTCTCTAAATATTTATAAAGATATGGATCAATTCATGTTTAGTTATATCGAGTTTATTAACAAACTATTCAAAACTAAATCCTAACTACCTAAAGATTTAGATCAAAATTTCATTGCCTAAAAACCCAACATTTCTCAGCTCTTTTCATATTCGTCCGTCCACGCAAATTATCTATTTTATTTTGGAAATATAATTATATATTTTAATTATATTTTTAAATTTATAATTTATAATTTTTTTAATTTTAATTAAACTATTTAATTATTTTAATTTTTAATTTATAATTAGTTTTACTAATATATTTATTGATTATTTATTAATTATATAATACTTAAAATTTCGTGCCCAACTAAAGTGGATAAATTAGCTAGGACTGAGATGGATAGAATATATCATAAAATAAAATAAATAAATAAATTCACATAATAAATTAAACATAAGGGTGTGTTCTTTAAGTAAAAAAAGTCAACACGTTTTCGTAAAAAATAATATATTATTAAAGTTATTAATTCCATATTATCTACGCATTTCTTGTATTTTAAATAAAAAAAAATATATTATTTCAATATGAACAAAGCCTATGAATTTTGTACAATTAGGGTCACTTTGGTTATCATTTCAATTCCCATTCATGCTATACTTCATTTTTTTTATTACTTACTTTTTCCAAAATTATTACAACATAAGAAATCCATTCAAAATCCATAAAAAAAATTAATAATTTTATTCTTTATAAAACAATATCAATATTATAAATATTTTAATTTACTTATTAAAATAATTAAATAAATCAAATATATTAATTAAATAAATCACTTCCAAACGAACTCTGATGGGCAAAAAGATTTGTAAGAAATAATTGTATGTATGAATGTATGTATGTATCTATTTACAAACACAAACACACTTGTAATGAACAAAAAATCTAAGAACACAAGACCCAGAACCACATTAAGCATATCCTCAGAATCACCCAAAAATTAAAATTGAGGAAGAAAAAAATGACCTTAAAAGGACGTCGGAAACCCATTTTTCAGAAATCGTAGTCGATGTCCGACGCGTTCCGGGCGTCAGACCGGCGGACGAGCCGCCCTCGCTCGTCGTACACGTCGAGATTCTCGCAAGGCGCCGGGAAAATAGACCCGACGACGGCGCCCTGCACGAATGCGCATTGAAAGACATGCCGCTTCTTGTAGGTCAGCCCGACGGACATGTCCCGGAAGCTTACGTTCCTCAGCGGGATCTCGTCGCTGCCGTGGATTCTGACGGGCACCCGCACGCCTTCGCCGTGTATCGAATTGTAGCTTACGTCCTCGATCGTCGGGGACGCGTTCGGGTCGAACCCCTTGTCTGGATGCTCGTTGTAGTCCGTCTTGATGACGATCCCCACGCGGACGTTGTCGAACGTTATGTTCCGGTACTTGATGTGTCGGACGTAGCCTCCTCGACCGGGCGCGGTCTTGATCCGAACGCCACGCCTTGAGCTCCATATGTGGATGTTCTCAACGGTGACGTTGGACACCCCGCCCGACATCTCGCTTCCGATCGATATTCCCGCACTGTCGATAAGAGAAAACGTTTCCGTGTTTATGTTCGAGTCGAGACGATGCTATTTGAAAGAACTCGACGTATTAATAAAATAAAGGGTAAATTATATATAGATATTATATACTCTCTTCGTCCACTGACAATAGACACATTATCGTAATACTACTTTTGTTCGGCTTTAAGGATCACGTTTACTTTTTGAGTGTTATATTTGAATAATAATTATTATATCAAAATGTAATACAAATTAAAGCAAAATGACAAAATGACAAAATGTCTTATAATACTAATAAAATAATATTTGTACAAATTTTTTTTTTTTTACAGATATAAGATATTTTTAATGTTAAGTACACCGACGCAAAAGGTAAATGTAATCCTTAGTGACGGACGGAGGAAGCATTAATAAAAGTACCAAAATATCCGTTGCATAACACATTCCTTATCAAGAATGAGCGCTTACGGTCTAGGGGTATTTTAGTCTTTACACATCTATCGCTATCTAAATATATTTAGATTTAATGGACGAAGAGAGTATATAATACCTATATAATAACATAAATGTAAGATATATTTCGCGTAAATTTTATTGCATAATTCACTTTACGATAATAATGAATTATCTGCAATAAAATTTACATACGACGTTCTATCCATTTACGTCAAAACACATTAAAAGCGACAAAACCAATTGTTCTCACCTGACCATAGATCGAACAACAAGGTTTCGGATGAGTATATTCATCGAAGGCCGTCCATAAGCGATCCCGTATTGATCCCAACCGCTTTTTATCGCAACACCGTCGTCACCAACGCTTATGTAACAGTCCTCAATCACCATATCCTCACACGAATCTGTTTAATCGAAGTTGATTCGCTTGGGATTATTAATTACATCATCGAACGAAACAAAAAATTTCTCGTTCGAGATAAAATTAGTTACAACATACAAGGGAACTCACCGGGATCAATGCCATCGGTATTTGGCGCTTCGAAGATGGGCGCGAGAATAGTTAAATTTTTCAAAGTCACGTTCTTGCAGTCGAATGGATGGATAGTCCAGAAAGGAGAATCGAGCAATGTTATGTTCGATATCACTATGTCACTAGACCACATAATCTGCACGAGCGGTCCTCTCGTGTGGTTCAGAAGCTTCCGTCGGAATTTCTTCCACCATCTTTGACCCTGGCCGTTGATCGTACCGTTATGCCCTGTTTACAGTAACCACACCATGATTAGCGCAAGAAATTTCAAACTGATAAAAAGATCGATATATAGCCACAAACACAGTAATAAAAGAGAATCAACCAACAAGTTTGTCGACAACTGGCATTTTTTGAGGAAGCGAAAATTATTTAACAGGGTAGGACAAGTAAAGACGACATTAGGGGCATACGGCGTGGGAATGAGATCATGTACGGGAAACAAGCATAACTGTAATTACTGCCGTAAATACGATTATGTATTAAGAGCTTTCAACAAGATGAAATGAAAAGCGATATTTGATTATTTAGAACTGTTGTAACGGAGTAGGATTAAGATCGAATAACAAACAGAAACGTAAAGAAAAACACAGATTTACGTGATTCACCATCAACGTATTGGTTACATCCATGAGCAAAAACGGAGAACATATTTATTAAAGCGGCTAGGTTACAGATTGCAGATACTAATTCTTGATACAGATTAACCTAGATTACATAGCTCTAAGTCCCAATATTGCATAGCGTCGGGTCGTAATAGATTTTTTCAGAGAAGAGACATACAATTCCCTTGATAATGGGCATAAATGTTCGACAATGATTGCACGTGCGGATAAAAAAGTCTCTCTCTCTCTCTCTATATATAGAACAATTATACACAATGAATAAAAGGGATAGGGAATTAGGTATCTCGGTGCATAAATTCAACAATAAGAACAAAATCACATCAAAGTGCTGACCTGTAATTACGACGTCTTTGAGGTTTTGTCCGTGGATTAAACTTCCGTATCGTGGTCCCGGATGCTCTCTCCCGTATCCGTAAGAAGGTAGCGGAGGCATCAGAGGCCAATACTTCTCATCCTAAAGAATGTCCAGATGAACGATGAAGTGCCCGTAAAACCAATGCTGAACATTGAAATATTGAGGTTTTCCTCGTCATCTAAATAATTCCAAACAGTTCATATGATAACACCGCACGCACACACAAATCCCGTATCCACACACACACACACACACACATATATATATATATCAAAGATCAATTGTATAGATGCGACGAGATGTATATTCGGTGTCAAATCAGATTAATTTAATGTTTGAATACCTCGACAGACTAGAATGATATGTAGTACATCTTCTTTCTCACTCAAATTTTACCATGATTAACCTCACAAATTTTACCCGTGTTTGCAGTCGAGAACCGTCCCGTTCTCTCTCCCTATACTCATTCTACTCTTGCCTATCTTACACCCTTACCAAGGATACCTTTATTTCATATAGGATGTGTTCACACAACCAAAGATATTGATACATTTTCTGATTAATATTACAAAAAAAAAATACAATATTATAAATTCACTCACACAATATATATTTTATTTACTCTCGAAAAGTTAACAATTAAACACAAAATATTACTTCCTCCGAGAATTATCACCTCCTCTCGGCTCCCAATTCTACTCAGTCTATTACCATAACCATATTCAAGGACCTTTATTTCAAATAGATTATATTCCAAAACTCTAAGGAAACTTAAGATCACAAATTCTACCCACCTTTGCATCTGAGAATCATCACATTCGCTCGGCTCCCAATTCTACTCGGTCTATCTACACCATAACCAAGGATACCTTCATTTCAAATAAATTATATCCCGAAACTTAGGATCACAAACTCTAACTGCATTTTCACCAGACTAAACGTTGCTTTCTCCGTAAATGTCCCAATTCTATTCAAAATCTCACCAATGCATAACAAAACCTTTTGAATGTATTCTTTTGTGGGTTTTACACGGATTTTTACTATTTAGATTTTTTTTTTCCTCAAAAAATATTAAATCAAATAATCACTTTTTCTTTTTTATATTATACTACAAATTTTATTTTACTTTCAAAACATCACATCAATGTTTATATCCATCAAACAACTATTCAAATTCAATTTCTTACTATTCATTTCGTAGAAAGAATTAAAGACTATTTCATGTATAATCTAGCATTTAACCAATTTATTGATCCAAAATATCAAAACAAACAGTTACTTTTTTTTTTTTCTCTTTATATTATTATGTAATTTTATTTTATATTCAGAACATTCATAACATCTGTTTATTATCTTCATCCAACAATTCATTTAGTAAAAAAAATTAAAGACTATTTCATGTATAATCTAGCATTTAACCAATTTATTGATTGTAATGGTTAATCGAAACACTTACATCAATCCCTAGAATAACAGCGCCCTCAGCAAGGAACAGAGTCAAATGACTGGTGAGGTTAAACGGCGCCGTCAGCCAATATCCCGGCGGCACATTCAGCTGGCCGCCGCCCTGTTTCCCAAGCTTCGAAATCGCCATTATCGCCGTCTCAAACGCCGCCGTATTGAGAGTCGCCCCATCCCCGACGCCTCCGAAGTCCGTCAAATTGAACGCCACCGGACGTAGCCTCGGAATCGGCCGAGGCGGCTGATTCACCCGCCGGAAAGCTAGCAGGCCGCCGGCGCCGCCGACAACGGAAGCCGCGTCCCGCTGCCAGTAGAATATGAGGAAGAAGAAGAGAATCCAGAATGCAGTTAGAGCCGCCTTGTGACTCCAAAGGAAAGTGAACGGCGATGGGATCCAGCGGCGGCGGTTGACGCCATTGGGGCTCGACGCCGTCGTTTCCACCATCGGATGGATAACTCTTATCGGCGGCGAATTGGGGGGTGGGGAACGGAGGCAATGCGGCGATGCATATGAAACGGATTGAAGATCTCTGAGAAGGGATTGGGATTGGGATTGGGATTGGGATTAGGATTGTGATTGTGATTGTGATTGTGATTGGTGGGCGGGGGAGGGTGGGAGGTAGCGATGGATCAACCAATCGAGAATCGCAGCGCCATTGCTGGTGGCTGGAGTGGATTGCAAGCGAAGTAGGCACGCATCGAAAAATCCCAAATTAAAAATTAGGAGTTATTTCCCAAATCGTGAAAAGCCCTAATTTCTATCTTGGACGCCATGAAAACCCTAATTTTGACATTGTGGTTGCTTTTGTTCCGTTTGTTTGTTTCTTTTGTTTTTTAAATATATTGTGCACATAGAAATTTTTGAAAATTAAAAAATAGTAAAAAATTAATATTTATTATGATATTTGTGTGTAAGAAAAAATTATATTGATTATATTTACTATGATATTATAAAAACATTTATTATCTGAATTATATATAATTTTTTAAAAATATAATTTATTTATTTTTTCATAAAATATTCTATCAAATATGATTTTAATATCAAAATCAAATTATTTTTCCAAAATTCACCTAAAAAAACACATCATTATATCAAAATAAATATATATTATATGCATTTTGTATGATTATATATTATATCCAATTATATCTCGGGATGTTTCTTTTGATGTAGTTTAAAAAATTTTAATTTTGATTTAATATTGAAATAATGTACGATGTAATTTTTGTAAAAAAATATATAATTTAAATAGTAAAATATTTGAAATTTGAAGTTAAAAACAAACCTTCAATATACAATAATATATATATATATATTCTATTATAAAAGTGGGAAAATGTTTACTTGAAGTCAAATGCTAAAATTTGAAATATATGTTTGAAATACCCATTTTTAATTTACACGACAGTTGAAGAGTAACGGACCATAAATAATGAAGCTAATAATTAAGTGTGTGTTTTTTAGAGAATTTATCTTTGAAGGATTTGAGAAGATTTTATTTTGGGGGTAAACTGTTTTTTTAATCTCGTAAGTGGACCTTTTTATTATTTTAGTCACGTAAGTGGAGTCTGTCGCAAATTAGTCCCATAAGTGAAAAATTTTCGCTGTTTTAGTCCTCCGGCGCCGGAGACGCTCGCGTGGCCCGCCGGAGGTGACGTGTCCGCCAAGTGTCTCGCCAAATCAGCGACACTTGGCGGACACGCGAATTTATTTAATTTTTGTTCATTTATTTTCATTTTTTTTAATTGGACCAAATAAAAAAAATACAAATAAAATTAAAATAAATTAAAAATAAGTTTTAAAAAAATGAAAAAAAAAAAAAAAAATCCACGTGTCCGCCAGGTCACACCTGGCGGACACGTCATATCCGGCGAGCCACGCGGGCGTATCCGGCGCCGGAGGACTAAAACAACGAAATTTTCACTTATGGAACTAGTTTGCGACATGCTCCGCTTACGGAACTAAAATAATAAGAGGGTCCAATTACGGAACTAAAAAAATAATTTACCATTTTATTTGTATATTGTATTTAAATAATAGCATAATAGCTCAGGTTACCGTGGCAAATGTATAAGAAATAACAAAATCTAAAATAATACTCCATTTTTTTGAAAAGTAATTATCCATTTTAATTTTATTTTTAATTTTTAATTTTTTTTAAAAAAAATTAATTAAATTAATTAGTTATCTTAATCTATAATGATTTATATTATAGGTTAATTATTTTCACTAATAAATTTTTAATTATGTACAGATTATACTTATCTTAAATTCTTGTGTCTACAGTGACCAAGACATCATAGTACTACATAACATATATTTAATAGCACATTATATAATTAAATACAATAGAATATATTATAAATTCAGAATAATAGCAATTTAATCTAATAAGCAAATGTCTGTAAAAAAAAAAAGATAGCAAATATTAATATAATACTCAATCAGTTCAAATACAATAGTTTTGTTTATCATTTTTGTCCGTTCAAAAAAAATAGTTTTGTTTCCAAAAATAATCACCATAAAACTATTATTACTTTTTCATTATTATTACACAATTGTCACTACTTTTTACACTAATATACTCACAAGGGCAAAAAATCATTTATTCTTACTTTTTACCAACTACTAATATAATATCAATATTTTTTAAATCTCGTGTCCAACCCAACAATATTATACTTTTAGAACGGATGAATAACAACATATGTATATTCTTTGCTATGTTGCCCATTGCTTAAAATTAATATGCTAACTTAATTTGTTTATTTGATCAAATCATGAACAAATTCAGCACCTTAAATAATATTTATAAAATAACCAATACAAATTACATTTAATAAATTAAATATACAACTTGAAAATATTTCTTGTTTTTTAGTTCGGAACCTAGTGCTTTAAAAAAAAAAAAAAGAAAAAAAAAAAAAAAAAAAAGAAAGAATTAAAGAAAACTTTATAATAGTAGTAAACATACCAGTTCAGTTATTTTTTAGATTATTATTGTAATAAACTTTATATATGTTTTTTTTATAAAATATCACATTCAATTATTATTTCATTTAAAAGCAATAAAAACAAAAACCTTACTTACATTTCAAATCAATCTTTTTACTATATAAATTTACACGATTCTTGATTAAAAAAATAAAAATTCATCTCATGAAACATTAAATTAAAATATTATTTAAATTTAAAAACTTAATCTCAAACTCGAATACAGTCCTACAATAAAAACATACACATGAAATACTCTTGCAATAAAAAAAGAAAAAAGATAGAATCGTTTATAATCCAAAACACTTGCATTGATCTTCACCGTGATTTATAAACTGTATGCAACTTTCACATACTTTCAATATTTTTTTAGGAGATTCTATACAATTTTTTCAATATATATTACACAATTTATAAGGAATATAATGTTTTCTAAAACACAACAAAAAATCTCATGCAAATTTTAAATTACCATGCAAACTTTTCAAATTGAGTTATAAGCAATTTTGGAAAAAAAGAAAAAAAAAAAGAAACCACGCAAGTATACATTTGTTTGTTTGTTTATGATTTTCAAACACAAAAATCTACACTATTAGTTCCACACAATTTTTAATAAAAATATATTTTTTTTATAAAACTATCACATCAAAATACCGTATAAATAAATATTCAAACCATTATTTCAAATCAATTTCAAAGGTTCAGTGTGTTTCTTTTGTGTGAATTTGAAAAAAAATAAAAAATAAATTTAGTATTTAAATAATGTTTGATGGACCATTTTATTTTCAGTAAACTTAAAGTTCACATAATAAAATTTGAAAAAATATTGGCTAAAGAAACATAAAGATTGTGTTCTTTTATGGTTCCTTAAAAAATATTAAATCAAATAATTATTATTTTTATTAATTTTATACTATAAATTTATTTTACATTCAAAATATTACATCAATTTTTATTTATATCACATCAAACAACTATTCAAATTCAGTTTTTACTATTCAAAAATCCATAAAAAAAACCCACGAACAAACACACTCATGTTGTGGATGCGTAAAATGGGTATAGAAAAAGCGGAGAAATGCATGGGCATGGGTGTGTTTCTTGAATTTGGAAAAAAATTTGTTTGAATTTAATATGAAAATAATAGTTGATGATATATTTTGTAAGAGAAAAAAATATATTTTTTTCGAAAAATACAAAATTAGAATAGTAAAATTTGAAAAAATTGGGCTAAAGAAACATACCCAATACAGTAACCAAAACCAAATACTACACTAACCACACAATAACTTCAAGAAACTCTTAACCCTGAAATCTCTCATCTCCATCAGCAATGCCACTTTTTCCAAAATCCCATATTTTTTAAAATAATTTTTTTTAAAAAAAGCAACTTTTATTTGAACAAAAGTGGCTGGCTGGCCATATTTTCCCTCCCTCCCATAACCATACAAAAATAAAATAAAACAATAATCAAAATAATAATTAAAAAATAATAATAAAAAAACACCAACAAAATCATGACACATCATATTAACTCCACCCCAAAAAAAGGCCAAGACAAGAAACGGACATCCACAGTAAGGATTCAAAGGCATACCTTTTGCATTTCTCAGGAGGGTGTATCATCATCAGGGCCAGGCCGGGAGGCCTTTCTCCGCCGCATTCCCACATCGCACAACCACCATGGCCGCCGGTCGCCGCCGCCGCCGCCTCCTCCTCCTCTTCCTCCTCATCGCCGCCACCGCCTTCACTAGTCTGGCTGCCAATGAAGATATCCACCTCATCGAATTCAAAGAATCCTTGTCGAACACGGCGTCCCTCGATCCGACCTGGATCCGAGGCACGAACCCCTGCGACAGCCAGAAGCCGTGGGCGGGGATCGACTGCGCCGACACCGCCGGCCAGTCGGTCTCCTCCATCCTGCTCATGAACCACGGCCTCGCCGGGGATTCGTCGAGCCTCGACGTCGAGGCGCTGACGAATCTCGCGACGCTCCGGGTCCTAAGCTTGGAGAACAACAGCTTCTCCGGCGCCGTCCCGGAATTTAACCGCCTCGGCTCGCTGAAGTCCCTGTTTTTAGGCGGGAACGCCTTCTCTGGCGAGATTCCGCCGGCGTACTTCGACAGCATGCGGTCCCTCAAGCGGGTTCATCTCTCGAGAAACAAGTTCGTCGGGAAGATCCCCGACTCGTTGATTCGGATTGCGTCGCTCCGCGAGGTGTTGCTCGAACGCAACGAATTCGCGGGACCGATCCCTTCCTTCGACCAGAAGTCGTTGGAGACGATCGACTTGTCGTACAACAAGTTGCGGGGCGAAATCCCTCCAGGCATGGCTAGATTCCCGGCGCGGACGTTCGAAGGTAATCCCGACGTCTGCGGCGCCGTCATTAACAAGCCGTGCAGCAGCGTGAATGCAGACGGACTAGAACCGGTGGGGAACGAATCGAGCAGCTCGGGGAAAACCACAAAGTGGGCGATATTAGGGATCGTCGTAGCCGTGTTGTTGGTGACGATACTTTTCAAGGCGAAGAGGAAAGAACCGAGTTTCGCCGTGCTAGGAAAGGAAAACCCGAGCGCCGTTAAGAACAATAATCGAGCGGTATCGGTGCAGTCGCCGAGCTTGAACAGGAAAGTCAGCAACAACAAGAGACCATCCGGAGCACACATTGATATCGAAAGCCAACCGTCTAAGAACATCGCTGCAAAAACGACGAATGATCTCGTGATTATAAACAACGAAAGAGGAGTGTTCGGATTACCTGATTTGATGAAGGCTGCCGCGGAGGTTCTCGGAAGCGGTAATCTTGGATCGTCGTACAGAGCATCGATGGTGAACGGACTGTCTGTCGTTGTGAAAAGGATGAGACATATGAATAAGCTTAACAGAGATGCATTCGATATTGAAGTAAGAAAGCTTGGGAGGATAAGGCACCTTAATATCTTGCCGCCATTGGCGTACCATTACCGGAAAGAAGAGAAGCTCATGGTGTCCGAGTATGTTCCGAAAGGAAGCTTGCTGCTTCAGCTACACGGTAATGTTCATTGCAGACATTTCTTCGAACAGATTGTGTGCAATTTGAGAAACTGGCAAATCAAGCATGAACTATGGAAACTCATATCCTCAAATTTCAGTTTCTATGTGCATTTCTAGGTTAAATTATGCAGAATTAATGTTCATTCAGACAAATTATCGAAAACGTTGAGAAGATTTTGAGATTCTTCAAATCAGGCATGAAAAATGGAAGAAAATCGTATCCTCAGATTTCAGTTTCTATGTGCATTTCTAGGCGATTATGCAAAATTAATGTTTATTCAGGCAAATCACTGAAAACATTGTTTGCAATTTGAGATTCTCCGAATCAGGCATGAAAACATGGAAGAAATTCATATCCTCAAGCTTCAAACTCTATATGCATTCGACCTTATCGATGAAAATTACTGTAACTAAAGGAATTTGTTCTTACCAGGCGAACGTGGAGCAGAGCAATCGGAGCTGAACTGGCCGATTCGGTTGAAGGTCATAAAAGGCGTAGCTCGAGGGATGGGTTTCCTCCACACTGAATTCGCGAACCACGAACTTCCACATGGAAATCTCAAGTCGAGCAACATTCTTCTCGCTCAGAACTACGAGCCACTCCTCACGGACTACGCAATGTATTCCTTAATCAGCAACAATCAGTCGGTGCAAGCTCTATCCGCCAGTAAATCTCCGGAAGCTGTGCGCTACCAACAGCTCACTCACAAGAGCGATGTATTCTGCCTCGGACTCGTCATCCTCGAGATCATGACGAGGAAGCTCCCGATTCAGTACGTCAGCAGCCAGAAAGGCGGAACCGACGTCGTCCAGTGGATGAGGAACGCCATCTCCGAGAACAGGCTCGTCGAACTCATCGATCCGGAGATCGCCAGCAACGCGTCCAAGGATTCAATCGATTCGATGGAGAAAATGCTGCGGATTGGCGCTGCCTGCACGGAAGACGACCACGAGCAGAGAATCGAGATGAGGGAAGCAATCCGGAGCATCGAGGAAATCCAGAACTGATAGTGAGCAGAACAACTGCTTTGATTCGCATATTCATCTGCGATAAACACTTGAGTTACGAAACGATCGATTCGATCAATCGCGCAATTGTACAATTGATTATGAACTGATTTTTGAATCATCAAAGAGAAGCAAGAGAATTCGATTACACAGATTATACCATCTGAGCGTTCTTCCTTCCATTGCAGTAAATTTACCTCCTCTTGAGAGTTAGTATTGAGACCCCATGAAAAGCTTAAGCTAATTGCAGATCATGTTTGGCTTTATTTTTATTCGGGAAAAAATCAATTTTGGTCCCAATATAATTAAAATTAATCAATTTTGGTTCCAATATAATCAAAATTTATCAATTTTGGTCCCAATATAAACAACTCATCAATTTTAGTCTCAATATAAACAATTTCAATCAATTTTGGTCTCATTATAAACAATTTTTATCAATTATGGTCCCACAGTTAAAAAACTAACGAAAATTGCTGACGTGGACATGACGGAGGTGACGTGGCAGTTGACCTGGAAAGTAACACTGCCATATACAATTATACACGGCCATGTTGTTACATGGCCATGTATATTTTAGTGTATAATTATACATGGCCATGTTGTTACACGGCCATATACAATTATACACGGCTATGTTGTTACAGGGTCATGTATATTTCAGTGTATAATTATACATGACCATGCTGTTACACGGCCATGTACAATTATATACAGCTATGTTGTTACATGACCATGTATATTTCAGTGTATAATTATACATGACCATGTTGTTACACGGTCATGTATAATTCTACACGGCCGTGTATCTTTCTGTTTCGATCTAAAATTTTAATTTTTTGTTATATTTTTAATTTTTTTTGAATTTATAATAGTTGATATAGTTAAAATGGAAAATAATAATAATAATAATCATAATATAATTAAAATATATCAATTTTAGTTCAAATATAAATATTTATCTAATATGTTCTTTTGGAAGATTTTGTCTAAAATTATACTATTTAGCAAAAAATTGAAAATTGTATCACTAAAAAAAATTAGTGAACAAAACATGCTTTGTTTTCAATTTTTGTTAGTAGTTTTTGGTAAATGTGGAAGTGGTATAAGTAAAAGATTATAAAAATATTTATTTTTAGTTTTTAAAATTATTTTGAAGAAAATTAATATATTTTTAGTATTATATCTCAATAAGATGTATACCACATAGATATCATTTGTAGAGAATAAAATTTTATATAATAAAAATATATATATTTATTTATAATTAACTTAAACTAATTTTATTAAATATTAGGAGTGTTAAATATAAATAATAATATTTGTTTATTGAGAAAATAGATACAAATACAAGGGGTTTTGAGTGGATTTGATGTTAAAAGGTTTAACATTTAATTATATTAATTTATACTCCATCCGTCCATGAACAATCTATTCATTTTTTTATTTGGTCCGTCCTATAACAAAGTATTCGTTTCTTTTTTTTTTACAATATATTACACAAATGTCATTACCTTTATATCATACAATACTAATAGGATTAATTCAGCTCCGTGCAAAAAGTAAATGATATATAGATATGGGACGAAAGGAATATTTGTTAATTATGTTTAAAATAAATAAATTTACTAAAAATTAAAAAAAAAATATGTCATGTTTTATGAGGAAAAAAAAGAAAAAAAAAAGAGAATAATTTATGATTAGCATATGCTCCATCCAACGGCTGACACGCATCACTCTAAATGTTCCAAAATAAACACACTTCCGATTTGCGACTTTAACAGAAATGGCGACAAAATCGCTGTTCTTCCAAACCACGATTTCTCTGACGCATCTCCAATGGCGTAGCAATGCCAATGCGCTCTGCCGCCGAACATTCGCGCGACCTCCTCTTCTTCTACGGCCTCATCATACTTGTCTTCTTCCTCCTCCGCAGCACCGTCGTCTTCGTCTTCGTCTTCGTCTTCCTCCTCCTCCTCTGCTCCGACGCCGTCTACGCACTCTATTCTCTACTACGGGAGCCAGGCCTCTGTGAAAACAGTAACCGATTTCTCAATTTCATTAATAGATTTCTGTTCCGTTCTAATTTGGTGTTTGAATCAGGTGAGAGTGGTGATAAGGGGAGAGTGCAAGGTGTGTCGGATCTATCGGAATTGGACGATTGATAATGCGAAGGAGTTAGGGTTGAAAGGTTGGGTTCGGAACCGCCGGGATGGATCTGTGGAGGCGTTGTTTTCGGGAGATGGAGCAGCGGAGCGGAGTAGGAGAGGTCCGCCTGATGCTATGGTGACTGGGCATTTCCGAGCACGGATGATCCTGGGAGCGTAAGCCTACTGTGTGAGTGAATGAATCAGCGATTCTGATCAGGATCACGATCAGGTATGAATTCGAAGCTCTCCTTGTTCCAGTTATTACCTTATTCACTTTGGAGAGTATAATGTGCTTGGTGTCAATATATTCAAAATATCGTATATACCGAAATATTATTGAAGATACCATTACCGTATCGAATTTTTGATATATCTAGCACTTTTTTGTTACCGTATACATGATATTTCAGCAAGTCGATATGTTTTTTCCACCCCTACAAACGGCTCTTCTTCACATTATCTTTGTCATATGTTACTCTCCAGACGCAGACAGCGCAAGACAACGACGACGACGGCCGGTTTCCGGGAGAGGCAGGACACTAGGTGGCACCAATCAAGCAGCTTCGATTTGATTACAAATTCCGATTCTACACGACAAACCAGACTACTGGATGACGACAGAAGCCTCGATCCAGAAACATTTGGCGGAAGGTAATCGATGCAATTAATTATCTCGTCTCTCCTGAAAAGAGAAAATGTGTTCCTATTTCATATGTTTTTTTTGCTGACAACATTCCCTCTTTATTTTCATTTTTCAGGCCACTGGTGTCGAATAGTGCTGCAGTGCCGAGCAGAAATCAAAACAATCCGGCCCCGGTCCGTACATCTTTATAAGATGATAATCTTTTTATTCAATGCTATATATATTACGATTATTCTTCTTACATCTGTCGTAACCTGTCCCTGACACAGAGCGCCGTTGCATCCGAAGACGATATTCAGAAACTAGTTGCGATGGGTTTTGAGAGGGTAAAGAATCGAAACTGAAAGAATTATTTACCTTGTTTACTAGTCGCCCCGTTGCACCATCATAATCATAATCATAATCGTCGCCTATGATTGATTTTCAGACACAGGTGGAAGTCGCAATAGCAGCTGCCGACGGAGACCTGAATGTCACGGCGGAAATACTCATGACCCAACAGGTATTCATTATATATATATATATTACGATATGAGAACACGTAGACGCTACTACGCATTAGAATATTTGTCGTTTATTATCCATTTTAGTTATGTATATGTATATGTATGTAGTCTCGGATCTGATGTATATATATTTATGAGCAGAGTTAGACGAAGAAGGAATACCTGCCGGAAAAAGAACTCCCGACCGGTTCCCCGGCGGCGCTATGTTTTTGGGAGGGGCAGTTGTTTGAAGGCATTTCCATCTTTGAAAACAAATTTTTATATATAACTAACAGTTAACCGACGTTGATGAATTGTAATTATGTATGTCAAAATTTGTGATGTAAAGAAATTGAAACTATTTTGTTATGAGATTTTATCAGCCTTCCGATATATAAACTAATATTTCTCCATTCTTAGTAAGTACCAAATACTAATTGTATAGGAGAATAAATATGATAGCTTGTCGGCTTCATTCTTATAACTGTTCCTGCATGTAAGATTGCATGCTCTCAAGGGCAACATAGACCTCATCAGTAATGGTCTAGAAATCAATTGCAATATTTTAATAAGTAATTCTGCCAAGCCATCTTGTGTATGAGCATGAGCAACCGGGTGCTCTACATTAATTCCAATAGACATGCAATAGTCATCAAATGCATTCGATGTATATTCACCAGCATTATCCAGACGTATAGTTTTAATTGAATTATTGGGGAATTGTGCCCGTAATTTAATAATTTGGGCAACCAATCTCGCAAATGCCATATTGCGAGTAGATAGAGAACAGACATGTGACCATCTGGTTGCATCAATAAGCACCATAAAATATTTAAATGGCCCACGCGGTAGGTCTATTGGTCCACATATATCCCCATGTATTCTTTCCAAAAATGTAGGTGATTCAATACCTACTTTAGCTGGGGATGGTCTGGTTATCAATTTTCCATTAGTGCAGGCAACACAGGTTAACTCATTTGAGTTTAACACTTTTTGACCTTTTAATGAATGACCATGCAAATTCTCAATTATTCGCCTCATCGTTATACTGTCAGGATGCCCAAGACGATCATGCCATATTTGAAAATCGATAGTCTTTTAATCTACCATGAGGTGCGTTTCAACAACACCTAATCTGGCATAATATAAGCCACTAGAGAGTGAGGGTAATCTCCCAATGATGTATTTCTTTTTATCAATAATATTGGTGATCAATAAAAATTCACCATCGGTATCACTCATAGTTTCAATATGGTAACCATTTTTTCGAATGTCCTGAAAGCTCAGTAAATTTCTTCGAGCTTTAGTGGTCAACAGTGCATACTGTATCACAATTTTCGTCCCCGCATGGAGAAATATAATGGCTTCTCCAGAGCCTTCAATTAATTTTGCACTGCCACTTATTGTATTGACATTCATCTTTTCCTTTTTCAAATGAGAAAAATATTTTTCGTGTTTCAATATAGTATGCGTAGTTCCACTGTCAATGAAACACATATTTGCATCATTTTGATTGACATTAATTTAACCTTCAAATATAAATAAACGCAGTATTAATAAATACATATATAAGTATTACAAAATACATTACAAAAAGGTAATATGCGATAATTTAAATATTACAAAATATAAAATGACATAATATGTCTATCACTGTGGGTTTGTTGGATCTACGACAAAATCCGCTATAATCCAAAACATCATCATCGGGGTCGTCATCATTATCAACATGATTAGTCTCGACCTCTTTCCGCTTTTTTCTGCAGTGAGGTTTGATAAAGATCGGCTAGGTGTTTGGTTGTTCTGCAGGTATTGGCCCAATGGCCTTCAATACCACACCGATTACAAATGTCGATTTGCCTCTTTATCTGTTTAGCCTTTTCGGCTATATCCCCATATTGGGGTTTACTCTGCATTTTGTTAGCGTCAAAACTGCGGCGATTGTAAGGGGTATATTGACCGCGTTGACTCTCACGACCTCGACCACGTCCACGGCCTCTACCACGTCCTCGGCCTCGTTCAGAAAATGTCACGTTCGCTTCAGGGAACGGACTGGAACCAGTGGGCCGGGACTGATGATTTTTCATCAGTAACTCATTATTTTGCTCAACTAATAAAAGACATACAATGAGCTGTGGGTACTTTTGAAAGTTTTTCTCACGATACTGCTATTGCATCACAATATTAGAAGCATGAAAGGTAAAGAGAGTCTTCTCCAATTTATCATTCCTAGTAACAATTTTTCTGCAGAGTTTCAACTGAAATGTAATATGATGGATAGCAGAGTTGTATCATGTAACAATTTTAAAATCCTGCAATCGCAAGTTAAGCCAATCATGTCGGGCTTTGGGGAGTGTGATATATTTCAAGTGTCCAAATCTCTCCCTCAATTCATTTCACAAATCTATTGGATCTTTCACCGTCAAATATTAAGATTGTAAAGGAATATCCAAATGATGACGGATGAAAATAATAATCTTAGCCCGATCTTGGCTTGTAGCCGTATTTTTACTGGCAATTGTATGAACAACGCCCATAGAAACCAGATGCATTTCTATATCAAGGGACCAAATCAGAAAATTATTACCAGTAAGAGAGATTTAAAAGAAAATTTTGCAAAATTTTCCATAGTTTAGAAAATATGTAATATAGATGGTATAAAAATAAAATTTATCAAAAATAAAATAAGCAAGAATTCGTGCTGATAATACGTTATATAATTATAATAATAATAATATAACGTTGGTAAGTATATATATTTATATATATGAGTGTCGTGTGTACATATATGTATAAGAAAAATATTATATATATATATATGTATGTATATGCATTAATATGTAATGATAACTTTGAGATTAATTCTTTATAAAATAATATACATATATATAGAGGTACATTTGGATGGAGAAGGATATAAATGCATCCACGTATCTACATCGTAGGAGCTACGTATTGTTTTATCATAACAATATGATAAAATAGAGTTAATAATTTGAAAAAAATGCTTTACAAATAAATCTCAAAGTTCCGCAACAATATTTGCACGGTTAAGTTTAGGCTGACAGTGACTCTGCCGTTCACTCTCCGCGATTTATTATTTGTAAGAATGTACCGATCGGCGGCGAGAAGGTTGCTACCGTCGTTGTACCGGCGGAGCTCAGCCACCACTACCGTCTCTGTTCCTACTCCTGCTCGAATCACTAGTCTAGCGCGGTATTCGTCTGCAGAAAGCATCCCCAATCAAAACCCTAGGCCTTTCGACTCATCGTCGTCGTCTTCCACGTCGTCGACGGCGGGGACTGATCAGGAGAAGGTGCGGGCGGATGAATCGCGGAACGAAGAAGCGAGGGCGGCGCGGCCGAAGGCTCACTGGCAGGACGAGCAGGCGCGCGTTCTTCAGGCCTCTCTCCGCCACGTGGTCGACTTCTTTACCCTAATTTTTTTGTGGTCTTGTTTCACGCTTTTTTTAATTGTTTGGTTCAGATCATGCGAATTCAGGTTTTCGGTGATGCCTACTGTAGCTTTTATCACGATTAACGCGTTTCATGCTGGAATCCTTAATTGGTTTGGTTTAAACTTTAAACTCTGTTTTTGTTCAATTCTCTCCTCCATTTTTTATTTTGGTACTTATCGAAATCGATGATGTTCTGATGAACTCTGATATATGGAGATAATGCACTCATTGGCTTGAAGTTATGTGCAGCAGATTCCTGCTTTTCTTGTTTCTTTAATTTTATTTTTTCTTGGTGTGAAGTGCATTTTTGGTTTACTCAAGTATGATTTACTTAGGATGTTGATAGAAATGTCATTGATCAGATTAAATATGGATGGACTGAGGCTGCCATGTTTGCTGGAGCAAGGGAGGCTGGGATCTCACCTTCCATTGTAGGATCTTTTCCCCGGAAAGAGGCATCACTTGTTGAGGTATAACATTTTTACTCGTTTTTATTTCAGTGAAAGAGGATAGGAGGGCTCTTAACTGTTATTTGCTTGCATTCAAAATTCTTTGCATATTTAGGGTCTGTTTGGTGGGGGTTTTGAATGTTAAATAGTAATAAATTTGAATTTGAGTAGTTGTTTGACCTGATAGAAAATATGTATTGACATGATGTTTTGAATGTAAAATTGAGTGTTAGTATAATACTATAATAAATGAAAAATAAGTGTTTAATTTGGTGTATTTAGGGGGAAAAAAATTGGGAATAGGAAATTGGAAAAATCCTTCCCAAACCCCCAACCAAACACACCCTTAAGTATCCTTGCAATTCTTACTTTCGTATTGATTTTCATTTTTTGAGTGCCGTGAAGTAAATGATGCATCAAGTGGATGGTATTCTATAACTCTTTTATCAAAGATCTTTTCATGTTATTTGTTTCAGTTTTTCATGGATGATTGTCTTCAAAGGCTAATTGACATAGTCGACAATCAAAAGGATTTGGAAAACTTGATACCCAGTCAGCGCATTACCAAGGTTGTTAGAATTCGCTTAGAGATGCAAGCTCCATATATTTCGCAGTGGCCGCAAGCACTCAGCATACAGGTGATTTTTTTGTATGTCTTGTTAAGTTTTGTTTGTTCGATGATTTTAAAGGAAGTTATTAATAGATTTTAAACTATAGGCACAACCTTTGAATCTTTCTACTAGCTTAAAGCAGCGAGCAATGCTTGTTGATGAGTTTTGGCATGCTGCTGGCGATGTGTCCGCTGATATTGATTGGTACGTGAAACGGACAGTCCTTGGTGGGATATACTCTGCAACTGAATTGTACATGCTGACTGATAATTCCCCAGGTTAGCTATCCGAATTCCGTATTTTGTTGTCAATGTGGTTTGACCTCTGCTTGTGTGTAGTTTATAAAAGTGAATACAATTTCTCTTGTTTGTATGTGACTTAGATGTATTTAGGGTGTGTTTGTTTAGGGGGTTGGATTTTGAGTTGGAATTTGAATTGTAAAAATGTTTGAATTGAAATAGTTTTATAATGTGATACAAATAGATGTTGATGTGATATTTTGAATGTAAAATTAATTTTTAGTATAATATAAAAATGAAAAATAGGTGTTTGATTCAATGTTTTTGAGGAAAAAAAATTTGATGAATAGTTGAAATTTGGGAAAATTCCCCAAACAAAAACACCCTTAATATAAAGCAAAAGCCGCGTCCAATTCATGGAGTACAGAGTATGCATCTTTAAAAGCTCTGGGATCAGTTTAGAAGGCTTTGTTTGCTTGTTAGGGATTATTGATGTATTTTCTCCTTCCGTCAAAATTATGTAGTTTTCCATTTTTAGCTGTCCTCTTAATTTATGCATAGTCCATTTATAATACAATTATTCATATTTTAACCAATAATAACTATTTTGATACTATTTTGTTTACCTGCTCAATATTTTTTTATCAACTCTATAATAAATTTATCATAATACTCATATTTTTTATGTTTTTTACCTACACAAAACTGCGTAAGTCTAGCGGACAGCGGGAGTATCTCTTTTATTATTATTTTAATTTATTTATTTAATTTTGTTGCTATGCAAGCCTGATTCATCCACCATTATTTTTAATGATAGATTTTAAGGATTCATGGACATTCTTGGACGGAAGAGTTAAAGATGCTTTTAATCTTAAAAAGTCATTCCAGGAGGTAAAATTGTCGGCCCCTTTTTACTCAATGTCGATTACATTTTCTTGAGATTTTCTAGTATTGTCAATGGCTGAAAAAGAAACACACACAGTGGCAAGTTTTTGCTGCAATATATCCGATCCTTCAGTTGAAACTTTTTCTATTTTAAAGAATGCGCGAGGGCTTGCCTTCATTTATCGATAAGTAGTAGGTGATGCATATTTCTGCTGCATAAATGTAATAATTGCACGGGTAGTTAACCTGTCGACTGAGAAAATATGCTGTGTAAAATCAAATGATCATTCTTCTGCTTTTTTGCACGGTTGGAAGGTGAAATTCGTGTATCGACTCTATTGCTATCTCCCTAGAAAAATTTGCCGTAGTTATTACTCAATCATGCCTCCATGAAACTCGCCGGATACCATATTGTATTAAATTTTAGTTTCGACACTGCAGGCCAAATATTTTGCGGAAGCAGTGGAAGCCGGGATGGGAGGTCCTGTACAGGGCATTGTGAAGAGAATTTTCCGCGGCTGAAATGAAATTCCGGTAAGTATGAAAGGAATGAGTTGTTTTTTGTGCATGTTAGATTCGTAGGAGGGATCCAATAGTCGAGAAATTATGTGCAATTAAGCGAAATAAAAATATTCAACATGGATGGATGCTATTTGCTTCTTAATTAACTATTTTGCTATGAACATGTCTACAACCCTCCCGAGCTCTACACCGTTAAAAATGCATATAGATATAGTTTATAGATGCTTCGGAAGAATATGTGTTTGTATATATATATATACATGTGTGTATATATATATATATGTAAATTGCACAAAATCTATTCGTAGTGCCAAATCCTACAAACTCTGCGTCTAATCTTCCCTGCAAATAAATTTTAGAATCTTAATGAAACATTGCCCAGTCAATGAGACTCTATTTTCTGTTCGTTTTACTTATATTGTCACTTTTTTTTGAAAAAAAATTATACATTTTAATCTTATTTAAAAAATTTTAATGAGACTAGTAGGTTATTTTAATAGTATATTATTTTATTATTAAATTTAAATCAATTTTTTCTTAAAAAAATATGCCCATAGTGTCTGCTTTTGTGAAATAATTTTGAATCAATATTTTTTTGTGATATAAAATCATGCGGAAATATAAAAATAATGAATTTATGTATTACATGGATATTTTTTGAAAATTTTGTGTATATTTTTGTTAAGAACACTCTCGCACATACAAAAATAATGATATTAATAATATAAAAAGAATAGTAGAGTCGTTCTATTAATAATATAAAAAGAATAGTAGAGTCGTTCTAGTAGATGCATAATAATTGGACACATACCAACAAAGGTTTAAATACGTTATTTATTCCATTTTTCTCTTTAAAAAAATTAAATTAAATATTTATTTTTTATATTATATTAAAAATTAATTTTATATTCAAAATATCACAACAATACTTATTTATATCACATCGTACTACTATTCAAATTCAAAATTTTTATTTTTTAAATTTCAATTCACAATCCAAATGTCCGAACGAACACACACTATGTAAAACAAGGAGTGTGAGTTTCAGAAGTTGCCGACAAACTGGAAAGGCAGCGTGTGCTAATGGATAGTACACAATATTATAAAAAATATTATACTATTATTTATATTAATATTTTATTTGTTTGTTTTTAAAATTTTATTTACTTTTTGCGATATTGTATTTAATACTAAAAATATTTTTATATTTATATATTTTTTTACATAAATATTATTATAATAATATTACAGGACACTACTACAAATATTTTTGTCAATCTTTTCTATTTTTATATGATAATTAATATTAAATAACTGGAAAGGGGCTTCCCCATCCGGAAGGTGGATTTTAATCCTGTAAATTCACTCAAGAATAAAATGAAACAGTGGTTTGTTTACTTTATAATTTTTTATGATATTTTATACTATCTCCATCTCTCGTAACAAAATATTTATTTTTTTATTTTAATCTATTTCATAACAAAATATTATTTTTTTTTCACATATAATAAGGTTATGTTAGTCATTTCTATTTTATTCCTACTACATCCCCACTATGATACTAATATTTTTAAAACTACGTGCAAGAAGTAAATAAATATTTAATTATAAAACAAAGAGAATATATATTATTTTATGAATATAATTTTTATATACTTCCTTCCTTCGTCCCTTTTTTATTATATCCGTTTTTTTTCATTTTGTCCAACTTATTTTAATTTTAAAATTTTAAATTTATAATTATTTTTATTATACAATAATTATTTTTATTAATATATTCTTGTGTGTATTCAATTCAAATTTTCAATTTTGATCGGTTTTTAGTTTATAAAATTTGAAATCAAAACTGAATCAAAATTTTTCAAAACCAAATAAACTGGATCAAACTAGTTCGATTCGGTTTAAAACCGAAGAAATAATATATATTTTAAATATATAATTAAATATAAATACTAAAAATTATAATATATATTATTTATTAATATATAATTGTTTTATTATTTTTAAAAGTTTGATTTTTCCGATTAATCAAAATTAAAATTGAAAACTTTAACCGAACCAAAACCGAAATTATGATCAAACCGAACTAATTAACCGAAAAAATCCAAATTAAACGGTCCAAACTAATATATATATTTTTTAATTGTTTTGATTTGAACCAAGCAATATTCACCCATAATTATATCTTGTTATAAATTTCGGTATCCATATTAAATCGGACATGATAGCTGAATGGAAGTATAATATTTCCTCTATCTTATAACAATCTATCTATTTTTTTTTATTTTGTTTATTCGATAACAAAGTATTTTATTTTATTTTTTTGTAATTGTACTATCTTTGCATTACATTTATATCATACAATACTAATAAAGTTAATTTAGTATTTCTAAAACTCCGTCAAAAAATACTAATATTTTTAAAACTTCGTCAAAAAAGCAAATGAATAAATATGACATACTCCCTCTGTCCATAGTCTTGTTTACCATTTTTATGCGTCTCAAAACAATAGTCTCATTTTTATATATAATCTCTATAAAACTATAATTATTATTTTCATTTTTATTATACAATTGTCACTACGTTTTAAACTAATATACTCGTAAGGATAAAAAAGTTATTTATCAAAAGCAAATATTTTTTACCGATCATCAATATAATATCAATATTTCTTAAATTTCGAGTCCAATCCAATAAAACTATACTCTTCGAACCGAAGGAGTAGAAAGTATAAAAAATCACGAGTTGATGCAAAAATACACCACAATAGTATTAGTAATAGTAATAGTAATAATATAATAATATAAATAAATATTCCCTTCATCTCAGATACTATGTCCATGTTGCCGTTTCTGTTCGTCCCACATATAATGTGTTTTTTGTTTTGGAAAATGATTACACACTTTAATCTCATTTTAAATTTTTTTATTTTATTTTATTTTTAAAATTTTAATTAAACTAATTAGTTATCTTAATTTATAATTATTTATATTATAAGATAATTATTTTTATCGATATATTTTTAATTATTTATTAATTACATCCTCTGTGTACTGTCTGGCAGACATGTATCTGAGCGAGTAAAACACAGTCATATAATGGTTCCAATTCAACGAGGAAAAAGGAAAAGGGTTTTGAGAATCAGAAGGAGAAGTACGGCGCGCCGACAAATCGGAAAATGGGTTCGACGGCGAAATCATCGGAAATAGTGAGGAAATTGAAGCTGCAGCCCCATCCAGAGGGCGGATTTTACTACGAGACTGTCAGGGACTTCTCCATCGTCCTCTCCAAATCCAATCTTCATCTTCCCCCTCACTGTATGTATTCTTCTCTTTCTATCGATTTTATTTTATTGGAAAATCCATCCATATTCCATACCGATCATGATTATAATCAGTCCAGTTACCATTCTTGTGATTAGATAGATATATTTCCTCAGTATTTTTTAGAATTCAAAATAGAAAAAGAAATAATCCCTTCGATCCAAAAAATATTTACTTATATTGGTAGTTGAAAAATTAAGAGTAATTTTTTTTAGTGTATCGGTGTAAAAAGTATTGTCATAAAATTTGTGTAATAATAATGAAAAAGTAAGGATAATTTGATGATGATTGAGTATTTATGAAAATGAAAATATTATTTTAGAACGGATAAAAATGGTAGAAAAGACTATTGTATTGAAACAAAAGGAATACTTATTTTATATTTCTTCATGTATTGAATAATAACCTTTGATTTCAGCATGAGAATCTAGATAGGTGGTATTGAGTGGGATAATTTGGGAATTGAGATGACTTGATTGGAGTGAAAAGTATATATTTATTATGTAATGAGATTATAGAGACTATATATAGTTAATTATTTTCTATTTTATTGTAATTATTGCATTTGTTTATTACAAACCAAAAAAAAAAATATTACGGATGAAATATAATATAAATTAATAAATTCTTATTTATAAGTGTGTTTCTTTTGATTGAATTTGAAAAATTTTAATTTGAATTTAGTATTAAAATAATATATGATGATATATTTTTATAAAAAAAAAAAGAAAATTCGAAAAATACATAGTCTAAATAGTAAAAAATTAGAATTTTAGACATAAAAAACACACCCAAATAATTGAATAGTCTCTAGTGATAGACTTGAATAGAAAACAAATTTTTGATAAAAAAGGGTACATAGAATGGTATAGTAGTTGGATAGGAAAATCTATTCTGATCATGATTATAATGGTTAGTTACCATTGTTGGTGTTTTAGATATGTTTTGAAAGTATTTGGGCGTGTTTGTTTGTGGGTTTTAGTTTTTGGTTTGGTTTAAATAGTAAAAGGTTATTTGAATAGTTATTTAAGGAGATATAAATAAAGATTGATGTGATGTTTTGAATGTAAAATAAATTTGTATTATAATATAAAAAAATAAAAGTAAATGTTTGATGTGATATTTTTTAAGGGAAAAAAAAATTTGTAGTAAAACTTACAAAAAAATACAACCGAAGTTTTGGAGAGTTTTGTAAATAGTAAAATAGAAAAATATTCCTACCTTTTGATTGTTTGGCGATGTTTCGCAGATAAGGTCGATCGACCAATTAGTACTTCCATATATTTCTTGTTGCCTTCGGGGAGTGTTTCTCATCTTCACCGAATTCCGTGTGCTGAAATTTGGCATTTTTACTATGGACAACCTTTGACGGTATATCTTCCTCTCACTTCTAAAAATTGCTACCGTGTTTGTTTGTGTTTTTTATGTTTCAGTGTGTGTTTACTTTGTGAATTTTTACTTTTTAGTTTGAGTAGTAGATTGGATGCGATGTTTTGTGAAATGAAATTATATATTTTTATAGAGAATCATGAGAATTGCATAATAAAGAAATAGAGTTTTGAATTTGAATGCAAAATAGGGTTTTGAATGTGATGTTATAAATGAAATTTTGATGCGTAGGATATTATGTTTTAAATGAAAGACGGGTGTTGTATATATAGTGGAAACAAGATCGAAAACACAAGCAAACACTAAAATCAATTTGTGGTAATTTGGGTTTGTTTAATTACAATTTCAAAAATAAATCACCACTATTTATTTCGCACGGTTTCTAATAAAAATATATTACCTTCGTCCGGCTCTAAAAATCGCATTTACTTTTTGTGTGTTAATATTTGAATATTAATTATTATATCAAAACGTAGTACAAATTAAAAAAAAAAATTGCAAAAATATTTTTATTAATATCTTCTAATATTAATAGAAGGATATTTGTGTAAAAAAAAATTATATAAATATAAAAATATTTTTAATGTTAAGGTAAATGTGACCCTTAGAGGCGGACGGATGAAATATTATTTTCTCTCACAAAATTTTACATCAAAATACTACTCTTAAATAAACAATCAAATCAATTTCAAACTGCATCAATGATTTGGGAAGATTAATTGGTTTTGATCTATTCTAGTGTGTTGAAGGAACTTGTTATTCTTTGTATTCCTCCTCCAGCTTGAATTATATTATTAAAAGAACTAAATATAGAGCTTGAATTCTAGTGTGTTGAAGGATCATTTGTTCTCTTTATATTCCATTTCTGTTTTTTTAACTATGCAACTCTCAGCTCTCGGGAAAAAAAAAAAAAAAAAACACTATAAAATATCACATTAAAAAATATTATTTAAATCAAAATTCAAATCGATTAATTTTGAATTACCTCTGAGTGATTGTAACCGATTCGATCATTATGGTTAATGCAACTCATTTGAATGTAAATCTATTTTGTATGTGTGTATATGTATATATACTCCCTCCGCCCCTTATCAAATGAGTCATTTGGGGTTTTGTAGTAGATTAATAATAATATGAAAGATATACTTTAAAATAGGACGGACAAAAATGGTAAAAAAAGTACTTTGAATTGGAACGGATGAAGTTATTTTTCTGTAGTTTCTTCAATGAAAAAATTTCAATATAAATGAGCACTCCCGAAATTAACCCGAACTCCCCTTTGTGTTGTCGACTTTCTTGTATTGCATCGTGGTTTTCTTTCGCACAAAGAGGGTTGTATTTGATTATAAGTTTCGAAGTGTTTCGAATTTAATTAATTTTCTTTTTAATTAACATATATTTGCTTAATGTAATGTTTTAACTGAAGAATGAGTGTTAGAAAAAGAAAAGTTACGATTTTTTATATCATTCTCAAATGATAAATAACTAAACAGTTATTATGTGCATCTTTCTCTCTATGGTGCCGATTGTGATCTTGTAAAGGTCATCGAGCTAGACGAAGACAATGGAAATGTTCAATTGACCACTCTTGGACCCGATCCGCTTGCTTCTAATCAAGTTATGCAATACGCCGTGCGCCCATACATCTGGTTTGGCGCGTTCCCCACCAACGATTTTGTTGATGTTAGAACTGGCGAGAGGGTCTCGAGGGATCCCGAGACAAACTTTTCTCTCGTGGGATGCACGTGCGCGCCGGCATTTCAGTTTGAGGATTTTGAGTTGGCTAAACGAGCCGAGCTAGTGCGACTATTTCCCAGGTATGAAAAGCTTATCTCTATCCTCACTTTTCCTTAATGAATTCTTGTGGTTTTATGGTTGGGATAACTTATAGGTTGGATATGTCTTTTTGAGTATTCTTGAATGTAAGGTGAGTTTGGTTTGTGTTTGTATTTATATGTAACGGTTTGATGTTATGTGATGTTTTGTAAGAGAAAATAATATATTTTTGCTGAGAATGCGAAAAATTATGTAATAAGAAAATGAAGAGAAGCTATTGAAGAAGTAAAATTGGTTTATGTTTTGTGGCATTTTTGTTGATTTTTATTGTTATGTGTATGTGTATGTTTAGTGTTTTAATTTGAAGGTTTTTTTTTTTTTTTTTTTTTTTTATATAAACGCTTGAAGTACGCAAGAATTGTAGGCAATATAACAAATAATGTGTTAAATGTTGAATTCTCACTAGATCACTAAAAATAAAAAAATAAATATACACTACTCTTTCATCATATTTCATTTTCAATTTTAATAAAAATAAGTTTTTTATATAGTACTCCCTCTCTCAGATTTATCTTAGTCGATATTTTTGCTATTTTTATATGCCCATAACAATTGACAATTTTTTTATTTTGAGTAAAATTTATTAAATTAAAATATATTTAACAAATATAAATTAATTTCATTAATTATATAACATGAAACATCGTGTAAAATCATTCAAAATCTCTTATTTATGTCTCTTAAAAAAAACAAATATTTATATTTATATTTATATTTAGAACATCACGTCTTTTATAAAATTAGCTTATATTAATTATAAATAATTTTTTAATTTACTTGTATATTGAAAATTTTAATTTTTACAAAATGATATAGATATTACATATATTTTTTATTGCAATATAATTTTTAGAATATTTAAATATATATTCTAATTTTTTTAATATATATTAAATTTATTTTAAAATTTCAATATTATTAATTATATAAAGAAAATAATATTATAACTCCTTACTATTAACTAATTAATTTTTTTATTTGAAAAATAAACAAGAATATAAATATGTATATTCATACTCCCTTCTTTCCGCGCCATATTGACTTTTTCTTCTTTTGTTTTTTTTTTTTTTTCCTAAATCATCTTTTTCTATTTTTAAGTAAACAGTCCGAAAGTTCTGTCTACACAAAAAATTGTGATCCTCCAAAAGTAGGCCCAAATATTTTTTTTACCGTGCCCAATCAAGCCCAATTTATTAAAATTGATTTTTAATATTAAATTATTTTATATGTATATTACTAATAAGATAACAACAAAAATTATTCTTTTTTCTTAAAAAAATTAATATATAATTTAATATTTAATATAATTATAGGGCGGAAAATATATAAAATATATTTGTTATTTTGTAGAAAATAAAATTTTCTATAATACAAATAAATAAAAATTTAAATATATATATATTGGGTATACTGTAAATTCATAATCAAATCATACAATATAAATTCTATCAATTAAATTTACTACGTATTTATATTATTTTATTCATTATCCATCAAATCAATATAAATCAAAATTCCCCAAACTCCAACCAAATTCAAACACAAAAAACAACAAAATTCAAACTCATCAGAAAAAAAAACAAACTCAAATTACCCCCAAAACCCCCTATAACAAACACACCCTAAAATAAAAAAATTTAAGACAAAAAAGAGGGACCAGCCGCTTGCGTGCTTGGGCCTACAAACTGGACTGGCCCAATTTATTAAACAATCAATCCAAGAAGCCAAATAATCCACTATCAGCGCACCAAAATATGGTCTTGTGTAAGGTTTGGACCTGCGACTGGAAGGTCATGAATTCAAATTTTCGATGCCTCAGGTCACCTGTCATGCTTAGTTCACTTGGAGTGATTTTTCCGTCGGACTTGGTTTACAGGGTATTAGGTTCAGTCGATGATTTACCCATTGCGCACGTTCGACTGCGAATTTTCAGATAAAAAAAATAAATAAATATTTTTCGGGATATGGATGAAAGAAGTAGTATTATTTTTACGACCCAATTGTACATGTGTCGCAATTAAGTAAGACTTATACGTAGGGTATGATAAGAAGATAAAAAGGGTCAATCGGTAGCCTGAAAATGTTTTAAAAGGCGGAGGCCCAATGAGTACGGAAAATGAGTGACGAAATCAAAACGACGACGTGTCACCTCCGCGGCAATGGCAACGTGCCATTTCCCCATCCATGCCAATCTGCATGCTCTTCTCTCTGCTCTACTCTGCTGCACCTCCCCCACTTCAATGCCCTTTCCCTTCCTTCCCCCTTCTGCAAATTACCTCATCAAATCTCCACAACTTTTAGCTTCATTTCTGCTCTTCAGACTCGCGTTTCCGTACAGGAAGAAGAACTCAACTGGCACCACTGGAGTGGAGCAATACTAGTGAAATTAAATTTTTGAACAGGACGCGCTCGCAGCTCGCTCGAACTTCGTTTCGGTATATTTTCAATTGGATGAAGGTTCGGTTTCCAATTGAATCATTTAGCCATTCGAATTCAGTGTTTTTTCTCTTTCCGCGCCGGTGGAGAGTATAATTTATTGCTGTGCTTAATTTTGGCTGATAACGAGTTGATTATGTTTTTTCTGAATGATTCCAATTCTGGACAGTTTTTTCGAGCAAATTCTTCTGTAAATCTCCAACGAAAAAGGCTCACGAGACGATGCATTTGATATGGCGTCGGCATTTCCCTACTTGTTTCTGCACCAGAGCATCTACGAAGATCTTCATTTGCCTGCCGTTATTGTTGCAGCCTGCTTCGTTTTCGTAGCGTTAGTCCTTTCTCTCCTCCTAACTTCTCAACATCTGAGATCTTACACCAAACCTTCGGTTAGCTCTTCAGCACTCTGCCCGTTTCGATCAGAGCAGATATATCTAAAAATTTCTTAATGCTAACTTCTCTTGTTTTTGATAAGGAACAAAAGTGGATTGTTGCTGTAATTTTTATGGTTCCAGTCTACGCCACTGAATCTGTAAGTTCATACATTTTTTAGACGCATGGTTCGAGACTATCCCACATTTAGAGTACATAAATAATTAGTCTACCAAGTGTCCGATATTTTTAGCTTCTTCATTCAAGTAAATTCACCGAGTATGAATAATATATAACTGCTTCTAGAAAAGGTGTTCTAGTTTGTGATTTAGGATGTCTAGGGCTTGAAATATTTTTGGTTAATCCAATTTTTTATTATTTATTGGACGTATTTGTTTAAATTCGGTTCGGTTAGAATTACTTGTAAAAAATGAATTTTTTTTCGATTAATCAAAAATTTCAATTCAAATACTATTCACGGTTTCAAAAACCTATATATTTACAAATTATTGAACCGTACTCACCCCTAGATATGATGGTTTCAAATACCTATATATTTACAAATTATTGAACCATACTCACCCCTAGATATGAATGATGCTTTCAATGTGATGTTTGTGCATTTGAATTTATTTACATGTATATGTATAATAGAAAATAGCTTCGTTCTTTCGTGTTAACAACCTCAGTTCTTTTTCTTTTTTTTCATTTCAATCTTTTATCAAAACTAAAAATATAAACAACAAAAATAAAACAACAAAGAGCACATCCTAAGTTTGGGCTGTGATTCTTTTAATGAAAATTGGTGCTGGATGTGATTTTTTTATTTAATAGAAAATAGGTTTTAGGTGCGATGATTTTATGGAAAATAAGGTTTGGGTGTGATTATTGTAGGGGGAGAAAATATTTTGATTTAGAATGAATAGTATATATTAAATATATTGTATTATGTGCGTATATATGTATTTTTTGGTAATATTCATCAGTATTGTAAAAGAAAAATAATAATAAAGTGTTGGGTTGAACAACCCATAAGGTTGAAAACACAAACAAACATGATCATGCTTTTGGTTCTACAAGATGAACTAATGCATTTGCAGCCTTGCAACAGATAAAATTTTGTTCAATTCAGTTTGTCATCTCATTTGTCCCACGATCCATGTTTAAAGTACTGTACTTTTATCGATGGCCTGTTTTATGCAGATATTATCCCTGTGGAATGCAAATCTATCTACTGCTTGTGATATATTGAGGAATTGCTACGAAGCATTTGCCTTGTATGCATTTGGGAGCTATTTGATTGCTTGCCTGGGTAAGAATGCACGAATAGATGATTTTGTCCTATGAAAAGATCTATTACATTCTGTGAGATGCTTCATTTTCTGAATCTCAACTTAAATTTCATGTCCATTCCCTTTATTACGCCTCCAAACTCGAAAGAACTTGTCTTCAAAGTCGATTTGTTCATTCTATGTAGCAGCCTTCAGAGTTGAAGTTCTGTGTGAATCTTACATGTAGTTTGATAGGTGGCGAAGCTGCAGTTGTCGACTTTCTTGAAGACAAGGCAAGGAATGAAATCAGCCAGCCATTGCTAGAAGGGGAGAAGAATCATCAGAAGAATCCTCAGTCGGAACACACAACATTTTTCAACTTCATCTTCAGACCATGTCTGCTTGGAAAGGACTTGTTCACAATAATAAAATTTGGTCTCGTGCAATACGTAAACCTCTTGCTTTTACATGCTTCAGTTTTTGCCTTTTCTCATCAAGCATACTTATAATATATACATATATATATATATATATTGATGACTTGCAGATGATTTTGAAGACTCTCTGTGCATTGTTGGCATTCATTCTCGAGCTAGGTGGAGTTTATGGTGATGGAGAATTTAAGTGGTACTATGGGTATGTTTATAAACCTTATCATTCTGAACAAATTAGATCCCGTAATTTTAGTTATACATATCATCTTTGGAATTAATATATGGGCTGCATCTACCGACTTTATTCTTAACGAAAAAACAACCAAAGCCAATAGATTGCTAAATATGGTTCATATCTGTATCTCATAACTCTGTTTCTTTCAGGTACCCTTATATAACTATAGTTTTGAATTTTAGCCAGATGTGGGCACTGTATTGCCTCGTTCAATTTTACGGCGTAACTCATCAAAGACTTGAACCAATAAAGCCTCTAGCAAAGTTTATTAGCTTCAAAGCTATTGTATTCGCGACATGGTGGCAAGGCGTGGCCATCGTCCTGTTTTGCACCTTTGGTGTTCTGCCAAAGGATGGGAAATTTCAAACTGGACTGCAGGATCTTCTCATCTGCATTGAGGTAAGGAAAATTAAAAATAAGGTTATCCTACAAACTGTACGTTGTTGATTGATAGGAAACAATTGTGTTATTATCTCATGTGATTAATTTATACAAAGTGTTAAAATTATTTGTTAAACACAGAAATTAACAAAAAATGGTAAAATCTTGGCCAAAAGTTGAATTTGATTTTTGTAACTCTCTCGAGGTTACGAAACTCAACGTAAATCTTCCTTTAAAAAATATTGCATGAAATCCTACGTGGTTTCGAAACTTAGCGTAAATTCCTATTTTACTTTAAAATTTGTATAATGTATCTTATACTTTAAAAAAATGTTGCATGAAATCACCTGTAAAGCAAAAAAAAAATATAGATAATATGTTTCATAGTTGTGGAATTTTATGGAACGTTTTTTTTTTTTTTTTAAGTATGAGGGGCACCATGCAAAAGTAAAATAAGATTTTATGCTGAATTTTGAAACTATAAAGGAGTTATGAACAATTTTACCAATTTAATTCCAAATTATTCTATGTGAAATTATTATTGATTTAAGATTGCTTGGCCGTCAGAAGCTGGCCGTGGCTAATGTACAAAATCTCGACCACTCGAGCCGAAAACAAGGGTACATAATTTGGGAACTTAGTTAAAATTTTGTCCCTTTTCAAAGGCCAAAGTTTATGCATTAACAATTTGTACTGAATTATTATACCATTTGATTAAAATAACTAATCAATCATAGGAATATTGGCACCTTTTCTTTCCTTGCACTAATGTTCATGATTTATTTTATATCACCTATTGATGGCTTTCTTTTTCCAAAACAGATGGCAATTGCAGCAGTTGCTCACATATTTGTTTTCTCAGCAAGACCTTATCATTACGTCCCGGCACGGGTTACCACCGAAGAAACAACTGCTGTGCTTATGACAGGAGAAGACAATAAAAAGAAGCCGGCACTTCTTGAAAAGAAAGAAACTGAAGTCGAGGCACCCGGAACAAGTGTAAGAGAAAGTGTCCATGACATTGTTGTCGGCGGGGGTCAAAAGGTTAGAGCTGAACACAAAAAAGACATGAGCTTGACCTGACCTATCATGGTTTACTAATTATTCCTCCACATTTACAGGTCGTGAAGGACGTCGTGTTGACAATAAACCAGGCGATTGAACCTGTCCATGAGGGCATGACTAAAATCCAAGAAACATTCCACCATACATCTGTGGCAAATGATGCAACAAATGAGCCAGAAGTGACAATCGAAGAGCACCAACAGAGCATTGCTAGAGAACCCGAAGCATAGCTCCATTTTCAGGTATGAAAGGTTTCGACTACGCCATCGTACAAATTTGTGCTTCAAGAATCTAAACTACGTCTCTCATCTTCAAGAATATGTATTTTACAACCATAACATTGGTTCCAAAACTATTCTACTCTCTGTAAGCTCTCTCTAATCCTCTACTGTATACAATGCACATTCACATATGTTATATATATCCGAAAACATCTCATAGACTGTGCAACTGTTTGATACATATCGATGGATTCCTTCCGCATGCTGCCTTCCGCCTGCTGGGTAATAAACACACACACACACATATATATATATACGTATCTTTTTATACATATACACTTTTTAACCTTATTATCCTTCGCAGCATTCGCAGCAGGTCGAGCATGCATCGGAACAACACTCAAAGCAACCCCAACATGTAAAGCCGCAACACAACTGAGTGAGTGCGACCGCTAACTGGTCATTGATCTTTGACAAGATCTGGATACAGCCCATGCCGCAGCAATATCGACAGAGATTTCGGCAGCAACTGGAACCGCCATTTTCATCTTCGAGGGCAGCGTATTGATAGCCAGTTCCAGAGTAAAGATTTTCGGCTGTGGCACGTAAGTTCCCGAAACCTATTCCAATGTTACGTAGCACTAATATTTTTTGAGGCTTCGGTTCTTCGACCCCATGAGAATCAGCTACTTTAGAAGAAACCTACATAAGTTTAAGGAGTTAACACATAATCTTGCCAAAAAAGGAGGATTGCTAATAGAAATTCTAGAGTAGATAATCTCACCTTAGGCTTGTTTGGCGCGGTGGTTTTGTCTGCTTTAGTTTTCCTTCTTACAGTCTCGAGTAGGATCATGTCTGTGTACTCCGAAACTAGGTTATTCCGAACACAAATATCTGCTATCTGGCAGATCGAATCCTTGAGGTTCAATAGAGTATCCTCGACAATCATTTGATAAATAAGATTGAATTTAGCATACACCAATACCTTTTTCTTGAGCTCCTGGCTGTCTGAATACCAGGCCTCGGCTGTAAGTATTTCGACTTCTTGCTTTGCCAGCATCTGTCGACACAATTAACAGTTAGCATCAATCAAATAAACCTTCAATCACTGTAAAAGCTATACCTCACCTTGCTTATAGGTACTACTTCTTCCTCTGCTTCTTGCACCTTCAGCTCCATCGAAATATTACTGTTATCCGAAAGGGTACCTCTAGCTTGAAGGGTCTCGGGGAACGTCCCCTGATATCTGCCCAATACAATCAAGGGCGCTGTCCCGGAAGTAATGTCTGGAATTCGAGAAGGGAACACCTAAAAATGGACATAAATCAAATTATTAGTCTATAAAGAATCACCGAAACCAAATATTAGATTGCATGAGTGAAAAGTAGTATAGTTAGTACTAGTATTAGTAGTAGATGTACCTCAACATCATGAAGCTTGTCGAGATTTTCGAAAGCAATGTCAGTAAGAAAAATCTCGGAGGCTCTGTCGAATAGTCTTTTCATTCGTTCCTTGATAGAATCTGCTACATTGCTGAGGAAGTTAGTATGTATGTCGGCAATATTATGATCAGAAGAGATCTGAAGTAGCATAGTTTTATATAGAGAGAAACAATACAATACAATTAGTCGAACAATACTACAGTATTGGTTATTTAAATTAAGTTCTTGTGTACTTTAGTAGATTTTCTTTCCCCTTTTATTACCGTTACATCTAATATCATGGCTAACACCTAACATAGGTCGGTAGCTAGAATATCTATTTCATCTAAAAGTTATAACTTCTAAGCCATTGTGGTTTCTTCGTAAGGTGGGAATAAAAACAAAAGCGTATGTCCGCAATATGATCATCAGAAGAAACCTGAAGTAGCATCATTCTTGATGATAGTACAGAGGAAGAATACATATAGTCGAACAATACTACATATACAGATTATTTAATTTGGTTCCCGTGTACTTTAGTAGACACGATTTTCTGTGTTATTACCGTTAACACCTAAGGTCATAACTATTTTACATACACCGTTTAAAACTTTTAGGTCGTTGTATATTGGTTGTTTAATTCGGTTCTCGTGTACTTTAGTAATCTCTCTTTTTTGTTTTATTACCTTTACATCTAATGTCAGCCAGCATACGTCGGTAGCTAGAATAACTATTTTATCTAAAAGTTTAGAACTTGTAGATCATCATGTTTTCTTACCCGCATAAAGAACTGCATCATGATAGCCACCGCCTAGCAGAGAAAGCTTCCGAAGAAAATGATGATTGCAGAAGCTCCCTGAAAATATCCGAAAGCTATAGACATAAGTAAATATGATCTGTAAAGCTTAGATCGATCACTTCTACGACAAAGGGACACGAAGAATAGAACACTAGTATAAAAATTTTCATACCTATGCCGAGTGTGTACACCCTGGGTAGGACATTGGTAAATTTTGAAAAATGATTTTTCATGTCGTCACAAATCTGCCTCTCATCTTCGACCGAGCCATCGGTTACGAGGAAAAGGACAGGGATGGCGGACGTGTTGTTAGAAAACATCTCCATTGCCTGAGACAGGTATTAATACGATTATTGTTCGAAATTAGGAATCATTGAACTCAAATGCCGGTAGAATTATTGAACTCGAATACCTGGTTCAAAGGGTGCGAAATATTGGTTCCACCGGCGGCTACGAAATTCTCATTAATCCATTGTCTGGCTTCTTCGATGCAGGAATGTGTTGCCGGACATAAAGATGACGAAAACTGGTGGCTCTCGCTGTTGAATGCAATAACGTTGAATGAGTCGTCGGAGCTTAGCTTTGCAAGAGCAGCTAAGATGGCGTTTTTCGTATCGTCAAGAACTTTACCCTTCATGCTACCACTTATGTCCACGACAAACACCACTTCCCTTGTGAAAACCTGTCGAAAACAGCATCCGAAGCATGAAAAGTTATTCGGAATTTTTTAAATGAAATTCAGGTAAGCGTCATCGATGTTTTCGGCATTTCTACGTTACCGTTTTGATTGGCTTGCTTGTTCCAGGGTAAAGATAACAGCAGAACATCCTTTGACCGTCGACGTCTGGCGACGAGCCCAACAGCACGGTGCCGAAAGTATTGCTCGAAGATACCTGCCGAAGAACGAACAAATAATTTCTCAACGCGAATTCCGGATGATCGGAAATTCGGACGGGATTCTTACTTACGGTGTAAGAGAAAACCAAGTCGTCTTTCGACCACGAAAGCACGTCCGCCTCGTACAAATAGGTCCTCTTCCCCAACGAGTCGTGATGCTTCTCCTACAATGTTTTCGGAAATTCACGGCTGTTAGAAGGGAGATTGTCGTTCCAAAACAAACATGCGATGCATGGGGGGCAGTCAACGGCACCTTCATGGGATGACTGGATGTGACGCAGAGGATGTCCGTGCCGGGACAGGGGGTAACGCCGATTTGTATCTTCTCATGTTTGGAAATCTTCTTGACTGCAGGTGTGACGTACTCCGGGAAGGCGAAGGGGATCTGCAACGTGAACTGGCCGTTTCCGTGGTGAACTAATCGCTGCGACCACCGGAGCTTGACGGAGAGATTTGTGCCGCCGTCGATCTGACAAAATGCAGCACAGCCATCAAAACACTAGGTACGCGTATTTTGTGTTGATCCGATTAAGTCTAATATATGTCATATGAGTGACCATTATACATATCTCATAAATATGTATAAATATAAGATGGTTATTCTTATATGGCATAGCATATGTGATCCTGTCGGCAGATAAATATAAGAAATTTTGTGTAAATAAATAAAATAAAATAAAATAATAAAATTGGATAAGGGTAGCATGCATGCCTTGGGAATCTTTACGGTGAAAATATTGGGAGTAAGGTGGGGGTGGTCGTTAATCTCTATTGCTGCTTTATTGTTGCTTTTCTTGGAGTTGGCAGTTTCTTCAAAAGCAGAGGCTATTTGAGTACGGAATGATCTCATTGGGATATCTATTTCCACTCCTAGAATTGAACCCTGTTTGTCACACCCAATAATTAGCGCACCATCAGGGTATAAAAAAAACCATAAATAAATTAAAATATTTGTTGAACTATATTTTCTCCATCATCTAAAATTATATCAATTTTTTTATTTTTTATTTTTTTGTCAGCAAAATTTAATTACATTATATTTATGGTAAAGCATTTTATTTATTTATAACTTTATTATTTTTATTTGAACAATTAATAATAATTTTGTTACTATTTTTTTTTATCAATTTATTATTATATTATTATTTTTAAAAAATTTTCATGGCCTCTTAAGTTATGAAGATAGTATAATAGGAAGAAGAAGAAATGTAAAAAGGATGCAACTAGAAATTGTTGAAAGCGTCCCAAATATACTTAGGGTGTGTTATTTTATTTTATTTTTTAATGACATGAAAATTTGCTGTTGTTACTATTTGAGAATTATTTTATATTTACGAGTTGATGCCACTTAGATCATTTCGTAATTCATTAGGAAAAAAAGTATATGTAATGTAAACAAAGGTTTTCTTTACTCAATTTTTTTAAAAATTTTAGTCATTAACTTAAAAGTATTTTTTTTAAATACTTTAACTTTTATCTAAAGGCAAACATATTATTATTTTATACTTAAAAGTGTCAAAAATATCAAAAAAAATTTACATAATTTCACTAATCAATACAATTTTACACAATTTTACACTCTCTGACCCTTAAAAATCTCTCTATTTTTTTTTTTTTAATTTTGATCCGTTTTGTAAAAAAATATTTATTTTTTTTTTAAATAAATGTACTATCTATATGTAAACTTAAATACTTAAAACACATCCGAGCAAAAATGCAATCCGAAGCGGAATGAGTATTTATGTTATTATTGTATCAAGCATTTATTTAATCTTTTATTTCACTGCGAAATTTCCCCAAAATAATTTAATTAATTAATTAATCAATGAATCATGTACGTAAAACTAGGCAAGGTAACCGTACCTGTTCGCCGACGGGGAGCGCGAGGAGGCAATCACACGCGCGGCTTCCCATGACGCAGTGCACGCGCCACGACGCCGCGACGGCGACGACCGCCGTGTCGGCGGCGGCGCAGTCGACCTCCATAGAAATCCGATTCATCTGCAGCGGCATCAGCGCCGGCGGATCCAGCTTGCCGTGAACGTACGGCTGGTAGCTCGGCATGTCCGGATTGTCCACGATCTCAGGGTTTCCGATCACAGCGTACATCATCGGACACGTCGGCAGATATTGCGGCGGCGGCGGCGGCGACGTGGAGGCGGCGCTGTTGGATCTTTCCATCGCCGGCGGAGGCTTGGGCGGCGCCTTTCTGTCGTCGCCGAAGTATATTCTCTTGGAGAGGCGCAGGCCGTCCTCCACCGCTGATCGGAAGTCCTCCGCCATCGCGATCCGATCGGAGAAATCTGACCGTTGGATTGTTTTTTGAGGTGGTTGGGGGTGGGGATGTGGAGAGGGAGCTTTCTGGTTTTTGAACCGTTGGGTGGAAAATGGAGAGGAGACTCTAACGGCAACTTTTCTGTCGGCCTCTCCAACACTTAAGGCTCAACGTTGGACTTCCTTCAATAGAAGCTCGACACGTGTCGCCTAATTTTTAATTAGAGATTTTTATTTTTTTTTTAAATTTTTTGTCTACTTGATGTAAAAATGCAACGGTCGGAAAATATGCTGGGAAGTGTGGCCCGAGCTTAGACGGAAATAGTGCCTCTCTCTCTTGTATATTTTGATCTTGTTTGTTTTAATATAATATTAATAAATAAAAAATAAATATTTAATTAGATATTTAAAAAAAAAAATGAAAATAATAAAACCAAAACAAAAACCTTATAAGTAAACATACTTTGTATATTGAGATTAATTATACCACATATATATATCCATTGATTTATATTTCGTGTCCCATCAACATTGTGCTAACTAATTAAAATCAGCAACAAAACACTAAACAAACACAATGATAATAATATAAATACGTATAATAATAATTATTATTATTATATATTGAACAACAAAACAAATTTATCAAAGCCAATTAATAATCAAATTCAGCTATATCTCATCCTCCCTTTCTATTAAATTCCTACTCTAAATACTCAAATCTTTTTATCTAATTATACACTTGGTTCTATATCTCAATTTACACAAAATGTATCCAAAAAAACACAAACAAAAAAAATTGTTAATAAAACCATAAAAACTAACCTCAAGAAAAGAATCCCGAATAATCGACAGCGACGGGGACGAACGCCGACAAAGAGATCGCAACGAAGATAAAACGTAGTCCCGCCTAAAAACACAACAAGATAATTCGTTAGATCGATAGAATCGAACATAACACATTCGAATAGGATAGCTCGGGAAAGCGCGACTAAATTTGCGCAGACAAAATCTCGTTCCACGTATCGGGAATGCCGGGCAAGCACCAATGCAGGCAATCTTGCATCTCGGAGACGCCACGAACACGGTAACGGGAAATATGACCCTCGTCGCGTAACTGCGACATCGCCGTAATGTCGAGAAGCGTTACGTTAGTTCCCCGCACAGCCTCGGCGAGAACGGGATCGCTAGAACCGTCCCGCACGACTTCGCTACCGTAAGTTAAAGGCACGGTATTATCGCAAGTGCCACCCGTGTTCCAATCCCCGTTGAAGAAATGTCGCGGGGACAGCGTTCGTAAGAACGCTTTATGTCCCGGGAACGACGGGAGCTGAGAATTCACCCACCCGATGACGCTGCGGACGGCGATGTTTTTCGCAGCTTCGATTGTTATCTTCCCTTCGGCGTCGGGAACGCCCCCGACATGAACGACCCATCTGTTGGACTCTAGCTTACCCTTATTCCAATGGTGCCCGGTGTTGAGGACGAGAACGTCGAATCTGTCGATGAAACGGCGGAGGAACGACGGGGGTCGGTCGAGGTGCATGGCGACATCGGTGGCTGGGTCAGATACATTCAGCGGCTCGAGATCGGAGAGCGTTGCGGACCAGTAGTAGAGAATCGTCGTGTTCGTGTTCGGGAACCGATACGCCCATCCGTCGGGCCTTTTAGCGCCGCGAGCTTTAACGAGACCGTACTCGTAGCCGACGTTGAGAACTTCGGGACTTTCTTCGCCACCCGTCACCATACACATGAGAGACTGGAACTGCTCCCGACCCAGGGAGTCGCCGACGAACGCCAAAGTTTTGTCTTGCATTCTGTAAGTATGCAATAAGGGACAAACCTAAAACGAGAAAAATCGAAGGTCTATTTACATCGATTACTTTTTTACTATTTTAAAAAATTTTCCGACACTTTATAGCATTCCAAACAGGAACTTTGAAAGCAAACGCAGGCAATTTGTAGTGTCGGAAAGCTAACAAGAACTCGATAAGAAATTCATATTAGAGCTGTTAAACGAGCCGAACGAGCTCGAGTATCGATGGGTCGAGCTTGACTCAAACTTGTTAACGATTCTCGACTTGTTAAAACTTTGAACTAAAATAGTGGCTCAAGCTCGGCTTGTTAGGCTCAAATTCAAGCTCGAGCTCGGCTCGTAATGCTCGAATTAGAGCTCAGCTTGAATTTTATACATGTTCTATATGTTCTTTAATATATAAATTAAATATATTTAATTTTATTCATAATTTTTTATAATAAAATATTCAAATTTTAATACTAAATATAAATTTTGATATAAAAAATTATATATATTATAGTAATATATAAATAATATAAGTATATTAAGCTTAATTGAGCTACTCGCGAGCCGAGTTAAAACCAGCCTAACTCGGCTCATTTATAAAAAAATAATTTTCGAGCTCGAGCTTGAGCTGTTAACGGGCCGAGTCGAGTTTGGCTCGCGAACTACTCGATTCGTTTAACAGCTCTAATTCAGATGTACCTTTGTAAGAACTTGGACCTTGAGAATGCTTCCATTTCGCAATCTTTGGGCTGCCAACGTAGCCTTTCGTATTGAAAATCAGTGCGCTGTGTTCGACGACAGGCCCACATAGGCGACAACCATTGGACGCAACCACTGCCCGAATATAAAGGCCGGCTATCATCAAAGACCCATCTACCCTTTGCATAATTACAATCTGAGATATATAAGGATCGAGTTAGATTTACAGTGTATAAATGTAGATATATTTGTGTCCTCTGATGTAATATGAATGCAGAAAAGACGAGCCTTAGGGGAAAAAAAAGAGTTACTTTTCTTTAAATGTGACCTTTCTGCCGGGGACTCTACGATCAATACATTCTTGGCTTGTTTTGATTTATTTGTTCCTCCGGAAAGCTCGTTTGATATATTTGTATCTGGTTCAGTAGGATGCAAGATTATATCAGATATTGAATTCTAAAATTTATATCCATTTAATGTGACATTTTTTTTCTGGAAGCGGATGTAAGTTTTTTCGTCACAATCTTCACACAATCACAAAGTAAAAACACATGTAGATGATGTATAGTGTTATCTTTCAAATAAGACACAAACGAGATTTTAATAAATGAAAGCTGTTAAAGTGAAGAAATTTTAAGCCAAATCTCAGGGTCATTTGCTAATGAAAAAGTGTTGGCATGCCGAGACTTTTTGGGGAAATAAAAATGGAAAGATGCATCTCACCTCTATCGGCAGTGGTTGTCGCGTTTGCATCGTCTCCACTCCCAATTTGTGAAGGAGAAGGTGATCGAACTTGTTGTGCTCCTGTTTGTAATGATGAACTATTGTCTTGCTTTGGAGTTTGTCTTGAACCTGATTGAGTGAAAATGTGAAATACTTAACAAGAATTCAGCTCTCGCCTAAACATGAAATGAGCTACAGTGATAAATGCATCACAGATGAGAAAAGTTGGATCATTGCAAAGTATGAACATGGCGAGAAAACTCCGATTTCAACATGTATGGACAAACTGGAACTAAAATAAGCAACTGGAAAAAGGTAAAAACAAACCAGCTTTAAACAATACAGAGATGAAATGTAAATCAACACAAATTTCAGCAATTTTAATAGCTTTTATGGATACATTATGGGTGTATTTACTTAGGGTGATTAGGTTGTATAAAATCACTTGTTTACTTTAATTGATTAAAGTTCCGGAATTGATTAAAGCTCTTAATGAGAACACACTAATTAAAAATAATTAATCCTATCTAGATGAGTGGGATTAATTTATCCTAAGGAATATTTATACTAAAAGCCTATATTATTATATGCTTAAGCAAGAAACGGAAACATGATATTAATTAGTATAATGATTACATAATTTATTGAAATAATACTAGGGATTATAATCTCATTCTCATCCCTATCTATAAGGTCCCTACAAGAGCAAGTCATGTGCTCCGCAATGCCACAAGAATAGCTCTTTTTGCAATTCTTCTTTATTTAAAAGGCACACTTTGTTCCATTACTTCGATAATCTTCTATGTTGTTAGTTTTCGGTGTTACCCCACAAAATCCAAGATAAGGGTTCCCCAGCATTTGATGCAAAAAATTAGTGATTTTTATAAGGCAGCTGAACTGATGATAAAATCAAATATTGATTTCTTTTACTTTTTAGCCTTACACAAATAGCATAATTCAAATGATAAAAATGGAACTTTAAAATAGAAAGCAATATCCAATGTAGATAATGCACAGTGCCAAACCTCGATACAGTTGCAGAACCTGACTCTGACTTGGGATTAAAGACGCCAGAAACGTGGGCTTTGTCGACGCCAATGCTATTAAAGTCGCGCACAATAAGCCAATAAAGATGAGAGAGACCTGTGAAACTTTTAGCCCTTTAATACCTCCTTTCATCCTTTTGACTCTGAATCTACAGTCCCACAATCATCAAACTATCAAGAATGCATTCCTATTGCAAGATATCTGTAAACAATAGAATTATAATCATTAAAAATATGTCCAATGCAAGTAAGAAGCATCGACTGCAAAGCACTAGGATCTATGAATACTTCATACTGGAAAATGATAAGGCACTGATTTCCTCAGATTACAAAAATGGACAACTGAAGTTAAAATATATGTTCTAGTTGAAAGTTAATACATGAATCAACTATCATCATATTGCTGCCAAACTGATATATGCTTGTCTGTGATTCAAACTCATTTCTTGCATTAGTCAATCTACAATAACATAAAATTTTCTCCTAAATTCACTTGGTAATGCACATTTTTCATTCAAAATATCTGAGATAGCCTACTTTCAAATTAAAGCATTGACAAATATGTTCGAGTCAAAGTTTTTTGTTCACAAAACATCAACAAAAACACCAAACACCCCCAAAACACAAACAAACATACACACAGACATTGCATCTGTTCTTCATTTTTCAATGCATCTCACCAACAAACCTAACTCATAATTCTGCAATCAATTCATTCAATTAGCAAAGCATTATCAGGCAATGAACTGATAAATCAGCGCAACACTTCCCTCGCACAATAAAATTCAAGTCGTACTTATGAACATGAAGAGAAGCTTCAAAATGAAGCTCACATAATTCTTAACACTCACTTCCCTTGCACAATAAAATTCGAATCGCTCTTACAAACATAAAAAGCGGCAACAAAATGAAATTAACATAATTCTCAAGAAGAAAACATTGAAAGAGGCGAAAAACACAAAATCCAAAGCACGCACCACTTCAAATGACCTGAGAATCATACAGCAAGCAAACGCATAACACACTCTGCGACAACAAGCAAAGCGCCAAACTTGGATCAATCAGATTCAGAGAAAATCACGCATTCCGACACAACCGCGCCAACGTGTGCTTGCATCACATCGATTGATAGCAGCCGAAAAAACATAATCCGCTCAATATCGCAAACAAACCAAAAATTAACAATCGTCGAATTTCGAATCAGTACAGGCGAGCGCGAACGAAAGAATGGAAAATTTAGCGAGTAGTGAAGATTCAAGCATCACAGCCGGAGAACGTGTCGCTGTACAGCGGAGATGCGGCGGCGGAGGAGGAATGCTGTGTATAGATAGACATAGGAGAACAAGTAATGGCATGTATAATTGTCGGCTCTGAATCTTAACAGAGGTTTTGTGGTAATTAGTAGTACTATTGAGTGTTTGGTTAGCAATTGTAATTTTGGTTGAATTTGATTTATTTAATTATTTTAATAAAATATACTATTTTGTAAATAATATTTCATTCGCCCCGATATAGATACTCATATCAACTATTCTTACTATTATTAGCAAAAAGAATTTTTTAACTATACTTTTTACTCACAGAGTTCCGGAACGGAGGGAGTCATATTTTTATACTTTATTCGTCAATAATAGTTTTTTTGTCCCAAAACAATAATTCTACTCTCCTATTAGCTTTTAATTCAATTTTTTAACATATACTCTTTCCACTCCAATACAATAATCTGTCTCCGTCTCAAAACAATAGTCTTATTTTCATAAATTATCGTATCACTATATAACTACTCTTATTTTTTCATTATTATTACACAATTATCATTACATTTTACAAAGCAAAAATATCTTTCACCTATACTTTTTACCCACTATCAATATAATATCAATATTCTTTAAATTTCAAATTTCACTGTTGTTCATATAATAATAATAATAATAATAATAATAAAAGGACGGCCGCGAACTAAGGCATAGTTCAAATAAACAAGGACAGGTGTTCTTAACAAGGGCCCGGTCCATACAAATTAGCCCGGATCGGGCCCATCACTCTGAAGACCGGTCCGGTCCATGCTATTGAGGCAATTTTCCCTGAACCATCCCAGCCAGGATGTTAATGAAACAGATCTGAGTAAAAAATTTCACATAGAAAACAAGCTACAAAACATAAAACAAATGAAAACATATTACTAATCATTTCATTGGAAAACAATTAAAGGGTAATAAATATTGTTCAACTACACGAAGATGAAAAGAAATATCCCAAAGTCAGGTAAACATAATAATTCAAGCTTGAAAATCGAAAATTGAAACAAGAAGTGTTCTAGGACAAATGCTGCATGTCACAAGCACTTCCTTCGTTGTAGGATTCCGTCGCCTTAGCGGTACTGCAAGGTATAGTATACAATACACGATTAGTCTTTCAATAAAAATATGATAAAAGAGCTCTTGAGTAGAAAGATGTATTGCTTCAAGAATGCCATATCAAGGCCTTAATATTGCAAGAAACTGACAAGAATTGGACAATGAATTAAAACAGTGGGTTCAGAAAGAAAATATTATAGTTATACATGTAAACCAAGATGGGTTTTTGTGGTCAAGTAGTTTTACATTTTTTATTCTAATTTGTAAATCGTCCGATAAGAAGTTCAGGCATTGAAAAAATTCGACAAAAAGACCTAACTATCCATTGCTTGCAAGATAAAACACGAACATCTTCAAAAACACATCAATTCGAAAGATTTGTACAGATTATAATCAGAGGCCACAGAAAAGGGATTTCTCAATGGCTCAGCAATAAAATAAATGCAGTTCAATTGAAAAGAGACGAATCAAACCTCATTGCAAATTGTGTCCTCCAAACATAGTATTACAAACTGAAAATTCATCCAATTTTTTAAAGTTTATGAATTCAAACGTTCCCTACGTGAATGAGCACTAAGCTCCACAATCAGGCATTCATTGAGTTAATAACAATTTCCTTTCTACGGAACTAAAATCTTGAAGCTAATTCATCCTTCAATTCAACTATAACCCTATTGACTTCCACAAGATTCAAGCAAACAAATTCAAAACCTGAAATAGAAAACATAATCCTCATCCAGTACCTAGAGCATCGTAAATTTACCTTCCACAAATATTTTACCCATTATATACGAAGTTAACCAAATTATCAGTTTCAAGTACTTTTCCCCCTTTCTGACCATCGAAGTTTCAGCATATTTATATCACAATCAACCGCATAGACTGTTCAATAAATCTAAGCATAAAACAAAACCCTTCCTCACCGTTCAAGTCCGCAACAAACAAAACCAATATATATCTATAACCACAACATATGTATTTTTAAAAATAAAAAATAAAGTTATTATCAGAGGAAGAAAGAACAATACCTTAACGAAACCAATCTCCTTGGCGTTGCTGCGGAAGCACTGCCTGCAACACATGAGACCGTATTTCCTGATAATCCCGTGAGGATTACCACAAACGCGGCTGCACAAACACCACCACCAAACCAAATCTTAATTATTCAGGGCGCGCACACATACATACAAAACTAAAATGACAAAACAACAAATTTCCTCACCAAGTGCGCGATCCAGGTCCGTAGTTCTTGGGGTGCGCGTTCCAGATGTTAGAGTGACCCATCTTCGTATCTGTGGCTCTGAAAATTTCCCAACTCGAGAGACTTCGCAGTGAAGGAGACGAAGAGGCGCCGATAGAGTGAAACCCTAATTTCTGAAGCAGAGCCTTATATATATCTGTCAAAAAATTGTGATTTGACCACTATACCCTCAGGGTTATAGTACATATATCTGGGCCGGTCCAAATGAATGTAATATCGCTAGACGTGGGCTGCACGCAATATTTTAAACTTTTGATTTAGATATATTTATATTAATAAAAAATTTTCGCATTGTTTTTTGGTATAAATTTTATTTATTTATTATAATATTACTCCATAGGATAGTAAATGGAACAAGATACTATGTAAATAAATAAAAAATAAAATAAAAGTCCCGTAAGGGATGGCCTGTAGGGGTTGGACGTGTGATCGCAAGGTCATGGGTTCAAACCCCGACGCCTCAGGTCACTTGCGGTTTATCCCATAATAACTAGAGATATGAAATTTTTATATTTATATACTTCCTTTCCATGCAAATTAAAATAAACTATTATTTTAGAGATATTTAATATAATAAAATAATATAATATTTATTTTACTTTAAAAGTAGTATCAAAAATAAAATGTACAATAAGTATTTAATTGAAAATTATTTTAAAAATAAAAATCAAAAGTTTTAATTTAAATAAATTAAAATAACAAATAAAAAATTTATCAGTGACGAACAAAATATATAATAATTTTTTTCGATTTATATACTATAATTATACTATTATATTATTATAATACTATATTCCTATATCGTCTTATTATTTTATTATATTAACATAATTTATATATTATTTATCATTATATTTTTTATAAAGATAACATGTCAGATTATAAAAAAATTGTAAAATATAATTAATAAATAATTTAAAAATATATTAATAAAAAAATATTATAATAATTTATATATTATTTATCATTATACCTTTTATAAAGATAACATGTCAGATTAAAAAAAATTGTAAAATATAATTAATAAATAAAAAAAATATATTAATAAAAAAATATTTTATAATAAAAATATTTTAGATTTATATTAAAATAATTAAATATTTTAATTAAAATTTTAAAAATTTAGATAAAAAATTTAAAATGAAATTAAAGTGTGCAATTATTTATTTTTTAAAATATGGAAAGTGACATAATTTAATAATTATAATTTAATAAAATATATACAATATATATGTCATTTAGAATAAAATGTTTTATAATGCAAATAAATAAAAAATTATAAATATATGTGTAGATATAAAATAAATTTATAATTAAATTATACAAATTAATACGCATTTATATTATTATATTCATTAGAATCAAATCAATACACTTCAAAACTATTCAAACTCAACGCAAACTAAAACAAAAAAAAAAAAAAACACATAAATTTAAACTCACTTCAAAATTAAAATAAAAATCAAATTCAAACACAAATTTTTCCAAAACACCGTAAAGAAACACATCCTATAATTTTTTTTTAAAAAAATGACAAATTATATTAAAATGAGTTGAATTTTATGATTTAGAATACTACCTCCGTCCCACATTAGGTGTCTTAATCACTGTAGACACAATAATTTATGATAAATATATTTAGTAGATAATTAAGAGTATATTAGTGAAAATAATTAACATATAATATAAATTATTATAGATTAAAATTATAATAACTAATTAGTTTAATTAAAATTTAAAAAATTATAAATTAAAAAATTTAAAATAAAATTATGATGGATAATCGTTTAAAAAACAAAATGAAAACATGAACAGACGGAAGAAATAGTAAACTCTGTCCTAATGGTAATAATTGAGGAACATAAAAGAACATGTGAACATATTATAACTACTCAATCAAACAAGTTTCTTGTACGTGTGTGTATCTATCTATCTATACATATATATATATATTTATATGTCTGTCTCCCTCTATAATGTATAAATATTCAACACTCAAAAGCGAACCTTTGCCAAACTTGTGAAATTCGCACACTACACATTTCTTTGAATTCATTACATCGTCAATTCTCTCCCCCTCTCCTATAAATTCCATTGTCCTAATCCCCAAAACTCTGTCAATGGCGACGAAACCACTAAATGTAATGACGCAGCAGCAGCCATTAATCAGCAAACTCTACTGCTCACCTTACGAGACGATTCTCCTCGTCCGCCGCCGCCCAAAGGTCGCCAACGGCGGCGGATTCGCCGTCGCGGACGCCGGCCAGAGCCTAATCTTCGCCGTCGACGGCTGCGGGATTATTGGCCGGAAAGACGAGCTCGTTCTCAGAGACGGAGATGGAAATGCTCTGCTGCTCATCAGGCACACCGTAATTACCCTGCACCCTCACATACTCTCTTCTGATTGGTCGATTTTATTTTATTTATTTATTGTTTTATAGGGAGGGATTATTGAAGCTTTAACTTTATCGAGGAAATGGAAAGGATTCAGTTACGAATCGTCCAAATTGGTTTTCACGTTACGAGAGCCGAATTCGTGCTGTTCTTCCAAATCGCCGATCAGAATCTCCGCCGGATCGAAGACTTTCGAGGTTAGAGGCGATTTTTCGGAAGGTTCGTGCGCCATTGTCGACGCCGCCGGGCAGTTAATTGCTCAGGTAATTTGTTATTTAAACGCATTCTTCGCCGAAACCCTAATTTGGTGTGATTTTGGGGGGGTTTTTTCGATTTATTTTGAAATTGGAGCAGTTAATCGTTCAGGAGTTGATTATTTAAACGCATTATTCGCCGAAACCCTAATTTTGGTACGATTTGGGGGGTTTTTTCGATTTGATTTGAAATTGGGGCAGTTAATCGCTCAGGAGTTGATTATTTAAACGCATTCTTCGCCGAAACCCTAATTTGGTACGATTTGGGGGGGTTTTTTCGATTTAATTTGAAATTGGAGCAGTTAATCGCTCAGGTAATTGATTATTTACACGCATTCGTCGCCGAAACCCTAATTTGGTGCGATTTGGGGGTTTTTGTCGATTTGATCTTGAAATTGGGGATATGATTGTTGCAGATTGGAGTGAAGATAAGCGTGGATTTGTATCACTTGAGAATAATGCCTGGAATCGATCAAGCCTTCGTTGTTGGAGTGATTGCTGTTCTCGATTACGTCAACGGCGGATCCACCAGGTGCTGAAGCTGAACTCGGTTCATGGATTTTTATTTTTATTAATTTATTTAATTTATGTAAAAAATAAAAATAATTAATTGGTTGGATAAATCTGAAGATTGTAACTTGTTTTCATTGTTCACGAAATTGAAATTAGATTGATTCTGTCACATGCTTATATTGGTCACCAACTTTTATTGAAGTTATTATTATTATTATTATTATTATTATTATTATTATTATTGTGTTGTTTTAGGTATTTTAAATGTGAAAGTTACGTTAAGTTATTTTGAAAAAATGTATCAAAAATTGAGTTTATTTGACAGGGCACTATTGAGTATTGATTGCTTCATCCCAAAATAATTGATTTTATTTTATTTTATTTTATTGTCGCATTTTATTTGACATTTTTTTTTTATGTTTGATAAAATTTTATAATAAAAAATATATTTAACAAATATAAATAATTTAATTAATTTTAAAACATATGTAACATTATATTCATTCAAAAAAATAATATTTTCATTTATTTTCTCAATATACAAATATTTTTATTTATATTTAATATTTCACATTTTTTATAAAAAAAAAATCATTTTTATTAATTATAAGTAAATAAATATATTTGTTTATTAATTTATATTATATAAAATGATATTCCTATTAGATATATTTTATTTAAATATAATTTTAAAAATATTTATAGTAAAGTTTATTTAAAAAATTTTGTAATCATATATATATTAATTTTGATTTTAAAAAAAAATATTTCGATTGTCCCAATTAAAACTCATTTTACAGTTATCGTGAGTTTCATTTTAAAGTATTTATTTTCTATTATATTGCCGAAAGTTTCAATTTAAATTTAAAATATTTATTTAAAATAAAATAATATTATAATTAGCTTTAATATCATGCTACAAACCAAATATATCTATCTATTTCGAGATGATTGTAATAGTATTTAATATTTAGTATTATGCTGTGATCACATTTACAATGAACATATAATACATAAATTATAAGTTGATTGTACAAAAATTATATTATCTTCGTCCACCTCTAAAGATTATATTTATCTTTTGTGTGTATTTAATATTAAAAATATTTTTATATTTATATAATAATAATAATATAATCATTCCGGAGTCTAAAAGTATAAAGTATAATACTCTCTCCATCCCATATCTATATATCCATTTGTTTTTTGCACAGAATTTTATAAATATTAGTATTATACGGGGATAAAGAAGAAATAAAGGTAAAAAGACTAAATTACTCTTATTAGTATTGTATGATATAAAGATAATGATATTTGTGTAATATATTGTAAATTGTAAGAGTATCTGTAATGTTATGTACAATTACTAAAAAAGAAAAATAGATGAAACGGACCAAAATAAAAAAATAAATAAATTATTAAGAAATAAAAGGAATATAATATTAAAGTGAAAAAAAAAAAAAAAAGAAAAAAAACAAAAGTGAAAGAAAATTCAAAAGAGATGCTCTGACTTGGTTGAATTTTGTTACTTTGTCTTGAAGTCATTATTTGGAGAATAAAAGTATATTGACCATTCTCATGGGAAATACTAGCCTAGGTCTTTTAAGAATTTGATTTTAATTTTGTATCATATAATTATTATATATATATATTATAAAAGTATATTAATTTTCAAAATAAAATATTATAAGTACATATTCACCTATCATCAAACTAATCAACATACATTTAAATTAATACTTCCTCCGTCCTACATTGAATGTATTAGAATAAGTATAAATAGTAGACAATTTAGAATGTATTAATTAAAATAATTAACTTACAATATAAATCATTATAAATTAATATTAAAATAACTAATTATTTTAATTAAAATTTAAAATAAAATTAAAATTTGTAATCATTTTCTTCTTTTTTTTTAAGAAAAAAAAGCGACATCAGATGTGGAACACAGAAACGAACAGTAACGTGAGCATAGTAAATAAATAATTTTAAAAGTAAAAAAGTAAAAGGTAATTCAACTTAAAAACATTTATAATAAATACTAATGCCTCCCTCCCAGGTAATATGGGACTATTACTATAAATATATGAATAATTAAGAAGTGTATTATTAAAAAAAATTATTATATAATAAAAATAATAGTTTAATTAAAATTTTAAAAATATAAAATACAAAATTTAAAATGTGATTAAAGTGTATAATCATATTTCCAAATAATTAAAAGACAAATTCTGTAGGACGCACGAAAATATAAAATAAAAACAAATTATTTGGGACTGAGAGAGTACATTCTCTATCCATACCAATATTTAAATAAATAAAAAATAATCAAATAAATAAAAATAAAAACAAAATCTCAAAATAAAAGAATATGCACATTAATTAAGGGATCAATTTATTTAAATTGTACTCAAATGTATATTTCATGGAATTGCAAAGTAAATATACATAAATTTTGTTTTAAAAAAATAGAACCTAACAAATTTCATAATATTAAATAGATAGTAATATGTTTTTTAATATATATGAACTATAAAAAAAAATAAAAAAAAAATCAAATTGATTTAAAATACTACTCCCTCTGTCCGAAACACCTTACAATATTTTCAAAATAAAAAATAATTAATTATATATAATTTCTACCCCCATACTTTATCCCCTCACATCATCCAAATAAAATAATATAATATATATTTTTCTCTCAATCACATCACCTAATTTTTTAATTAATACTACCCATCTAAAAGCTCGTGTCAAAAGCAAATATTACATCTTGTCTGAGAAAGAGAGAGTTAAAAAAAAAAAAAATGTGGGCTCGAAAATAAAAAGTACCAAGCAGGCTGAAACAGGTCCATTGAGAAGCCCAGAAAAATAAACTATTTTAAATATTGATGAAATAAATAAAAATCAATAATGTTGTAAATATTAAAATGACAAATATATCAAAGAAGGTTTATGTTTGTCTAATTTACTTTGAAAATGTGTGTTCACTTTGTGTAATATTTATTGGCAGAATGGATAATTTAATAATTGATTATTTTTATGTTTAGTCTTAAAAAATAGTAAAAATACTTTTAGAACAAGATAAAAATAATTATTATTTTTATTATATTTATTGTTTGTTGAGGTTTGATATAAGAATAATGTTTCATCTGTCCCATTGAAAGAGTGGCGTTTGTTTTTTGCACGTAGATTTTTTAATATTAGTATTATATTGGATTATAGTAAAAAAGACAAAAATACCCCTATGTTTTAATATAAAAGTAATGACATTTACGTAATATATTGTAAGTTGAAAAGATATTTATTATGTTAAGTAGATAGTATAATTACTAAATTGGGAAATAATAATTTTGTTTTGGGATTGACGGAAATAGAAAATTGTAACTTTTCAATAGAACGGAGAGAATAATATATTTATAATTTCAGTGGTTTATAAATAAAAATTAAGAAGCTTATTCGCAATTTTGATAATAAAAAGATGTATTTTGTACAATTTTGTCTAATAATAGTAACATTTATATATATATATATATTAATAAAAACAATTTTATGATTATTATTATTATTTATTTTACAATTCTGTTTGATCGTATAATGATTTTACTAAAACATAAAATTTTTATTTTTATTTTAATATTATTATATATTAATTTAAATTTGAAAATATCTTATAAGTTAGCTTTATACATATATATTAACACAAAATTTATAAATAATATACTTTCACTTTAATAAACAATATTCAAATAATATTTTTTTTTTTTATAATTTACCGTAGATATAATTATTTTATATAAATATATACATATTATGTATATTTATACAATATTATTAAAATTAGAAAAATATGTGTTATAAAATTACTATTATGATAAATTTATATTAATAATAAAAATTAAATATCACATAAATTAATACTCCCTCCGTCCCATGTAATATGGGTGTATTACTGTAGACACGAGAATTTATTTAAAGTATAATCAGTAAGTAATTAGGAAGTGTATTAGTAAAAATAATTACTATTTAGTGAAAATAATTATAGATTAAGATTAAGATAACAAAATAGTTTAATTAAGATTAAAAAAATTAAATTTTAAATTTTAAAATATGATTAAAATGTATAATTAATTTTCCAAAAAAAGGAAATGACAAATTATGTGGGAAGGAGCGAGTATAATATAGCCATTACAGTGCGCCATATATAGGGTTTTATTTAATTACTATATTTAAAATAATACTTCCTCCATCAAGTTAGAAAGTATACGTATTTCTATTTTGGGACGTCGAGTGAATATTTTATATAACTAATCTAAATTTACCCATTCCAATTCCAAGTTTCCAACAATATCAAAGTTTGTTACATTTAAAAGATAATTATTATTATAATTTTCCACTTATTATTGTACTCCCTCCATCCCAATACAATAGTCTTAGTTTACTATTTTTGTTCATCCCAAAACAATAGTCTTATTTTCATAAATGATCATATCACCGTAAAACTACCACTGTTTTTTTCATTTTTATTACACAATTGTCACTACTTTTTACACTAATACATTCGTAACTCGTAAGGACAAAAAAATATTTTATTCATACTTTTTACCGACTATTCCTTAAATTCTGTATCCAATCCAATTATGACTATAGTTTTGGAACGAAGGAAGTATACGATAATAACAGAATCCGAAAAGTTAGATTTAGAATTTAATTTAAAAAATCTTATCCGAATTATAATTATAAATACCCCTTTTTCTTCTTCTCCACATAATTTACCAATTCCTTTGTTACCTCTTATCCCAGGTACGTTCGTATTCTCTGTACTTTATTATTATTATTATTATTGAATTTGTTTTAGATATAGATAGTTTTGAAAATAGTAAAAATTTAATAGTATTTTATTTGATATTTTGTATTGTAATGCTGAATAAAATTTTGTAGTTGAATAGTACTCTATTTGTTCCATATAATATGAGTGTATTACCGTAGACACGATAATTTAGGTAAAGTATAATTAGTAAGTAATTAAGAAGTATATTAATAAAAATAATTATTATTTAGTAAAAATAATTATAGATTAAGAATAAGATAACTAAATAGTTTAATTAAAATTAAGAAAATTATAAAATTTAAAATTTAAAATTCGATTAAAGTGCATAATTATAT